CTATCACTACTATTTCTCACCGGGACAGTACATGTACTCTTTGCAATCAAGTTGAACACAAGCGAGATATAATGCATGGTCTCTTACATGTTATCTTCCCATCCCTTTTTGGTAAATATATGTCAAGTAACATTCACATGTGACGTTATTTTGATGCAAATAACGAGTCCTTTTTATCAAGACGTCTAAAACTCGAAGTAAATGAGGAAATTCAGAAGGTGAATTCAGTGAATTAGAAGCTCGGATTCAATTTAGCAAAACTAAAACTGCATTTTACGATTACAAGGGAGAGCATTTGCCTAATTCTGTGGCAAAAATTTAGAAAACATGGTCGGATTATAATGATTTTATCATACATGAAACAAATCCCTATGGATCTTTTGCCTGTTCATACTGGTGGCAACCGGCAAGTGCATAACATACGTACTTAATTCTATTAGATTTACTTGGCATAACTCAACTTAGCAACCCGAATTATGTAGAAAATGTACTAGCCTTTCTTGAAATTTCCTTCATACCTTCTCTTTTGAACTTCATCTCTTGGCCAAGTTGAGGGTGACAACCAAGTTAGAGTATGGTTCTCACTCTTCAAGTAAAAGCATCTAACGTGAATTCAGAAATGCCGGGAATGCTCACATCGATTTACAAAATCGACTTGCACAATAACAAACCGTCGAAAGTTGGGAAATTTATCCGTAGCTAAAGCCAAAATGCAGCCTTGGATTCTTTCCTCAAATTTCCCAAAGATTTGAGAGTGGCAACGGAATATGGATGTAAACTCAATGTCACTTTATCCTCGCTTGGCCTGTTTGGCAACTTTATTACACGGGCTCTTCTTCTCGACTACCATGTAATGGCATTGACTATCTGCACATTTGGAACCTACTCTTCTGCATAAATTATCATTTTTTTATGTTCCTCGTGAAAAAAGAAACGGAAAAACGACAAATTTAAATGATGCAGCCCGACTGGTTTTGCTCTCTTTGAGAAACCCAAGATGAGCTTCGTTGCAATTATTAATGCTATTCATTAAGGTCAACGAATCTTTGCAGTAAAGTCCAACACAAGCAAGCTATCATGCACGGTCTCTCAATTTGAGGGTATCTTCCGACAATTTTAAATGCATTTTCAAACCTGACAAGTTCAGTGGAATAGAAGCTTGGAGGAATGGAATAGAAACTGCGTTTCCTGATTCCCACGACCCGAAAACCTTAAAATAATCAATGAGTAGTACTGGTCTCGAACGCCATGCTTTTTTTTCCAAGCTTTTGTTTCCTTATCCCCGTAACACATTGATGTTGAAGTTCTTGAGATTCCTCAATTTGGACCAGACCAGACAAGCCCTTGCCTGATGAATTAATTAAGAGGAAGGCAACAATTAATGGTCTTCTTCATTTCCTAGCCCCCATTTAATTTAAAATGTAGAATCGTATCAGCTCCTAGTAAATTTATTATAAGAGAAGTCACAATTTCATATTGCAAGATGAAAATGTTTTTCTAGTCTTTTTGGGCCGAAAATTGCCAATCCAATTTACTTGGTCAAGTTCAAATTCAAAAACGACATTGAATTTGTGTTCTCCTCAAAACCTCAATGTCAGGTGATGCTATAACCAATTATTTATTTTCTTTTGAAGGGACAAAATCAACAAGGTTACACCCTCGAAAGACTTGTTAAGCTAACATGCCTTAAGAGTTTATAAAGACATATTTTCCTTTTCAAGGACAGGGCTTCTGAGAAATGTGCATCTAGAAAATAGCCATATGAGATGGTCTTCAATCAAACTATGAGAAGATTAAATGTTTATTGATGCATCAATTACTCACCAAAGAGGAAAAAAAAAGGAAAATTCAGATTGTTTTACAAGACAGTAATTTTCTTGGTAGTAGTTCCCTGTTCACTTGCTTTGCTTGAGAGCTTCACGGAATCGGAGGATCCACCACGTTCCTCGCAAAAACAAGTTGCTTCTCAAAGTCACACACCCCACCATGATTGGCGGCTCATCCTTCGGTCCTCGGTCATTGAACAAAATAATGGGGGTTAAACTTACTTGTCCAGATTTTGTACTTTATATTGGTGAAGCTTCACTCCTTAAAACTTGACCTACTGGTTAGTGTTCAGCATTTTGTGCACATAACTTCTAGGGTTTCCGAAAACAGCAGCTTGAAGTCCTTGCATCTGCTTTTATATCTTCTTAAGAGCTAGTTAGAGAGAGAGAGAGAGAGAGAGAGAGAGAGAGAGAGAGAGAGAGAGAGAGAGAGAGAGAGAGAGAGAGAGAGAGAGAGAGAGAGAGAGAGAGAGAGAGAGAGAGAGATGGAGGAGAGAGATGGAGCTGACACAATGGAGGAGTTGATATTGCCAGGGTTCAGGTTCCATCCCACAGATGAGGAGCTTGTGGGGTTTTACTTGAAGAGGAAGATTCAGAAGCAAGCCATCTGTGTGGAGGTCATCAAGCAACTTGATATTTACAAATATGATCCATGGGATCTCCCAAGTAAGACGAATTTGATCATTTGCATGCATGTGCGAATGCTTGGATTCAATAGAGAAGATATGATAAAAAGACATGGGGGTGCTTTTGTTTGGTTCATATGCTCATAATCTCTAGTTTCTACTTTGAAGAAATTTTCGTTTACTCTTTCCTGAACTTGTTGAGGAGTCACTGTTTGCATCTCAAGACTCGATGCCATTCTTCACTTTGATATGACTAGATTGGAAACTGATTCTTTTTGCACTTTTCATGTGATTCATATAGAGTTGGCGACGACTCTTGGGGAAAGGGAGTGGTACTTCTACTGCCCGAGGGACAGGAAATACAGAAACAGTGCGAGGCCCAACAGAGTGACCAGAGGTGGCTTTTGGAAAGCCACAGGCACTGATCGACCCATCTATTCCCCATCTCATCAACTCAATAACGATGTCAGCATCAACAGCATCAAGTGTGGCAATAACATAATAGGGTTGAAGAAATCTCTCGTGTTCTACAGAGGCAGAGCTGGGAAAGGGGTGAAGACTGACTGGATGATGCATGAGTTTCGGCTGCCTTCTCTCTCTGATTTAGTTGCATCCCCACTTCCATCAAAGAAGAGCCTCCCCACCCATGTAAGTATTCTTTACCTTTGAGGTTTTATTGTGGTGTTCATTGTCTTCTCTCCTTTTCTGAGAAATTTTCATGGAAACTATTTTATTTTATTTTTTATTTTTTCCCCCACATGCAAGAATGTGGTACAGTATTGTCATGATTATTTCTGAGAACTTTTTCATATGTATTAGTATCATCTTTGATAGATAAATGTACACAGTTTCACATGCACATCGGAAAATGATTAAACGAGAAAAAAAACCAATAATACATAACCCAATGAATAATGGGATTCGCTCTTAGAAATCGAAAAAGGAAAAAACGGATAATGTGATACACTCTACTCTTGTATCAATCTCAAGTTTGAGCATGTTTTCGAGTACCTTGTCGCGATTTATTTTCACAGTGACTTTTATTACTTTCAAATCTTGCCGTTTCATGCACTTTGACCATAAGACTTGAAATTATTCAAAAGAGTAAATTTCGAATTAAAAAAAAAATCAACACTATGGAATAGTTTTTTTTTTATTAATTCAAGTTTTCGAAGAAAGAAGTAAGGTGGCCAAAAAAAATCCAATCCAACGCGAGCGTTCTATATATTAGCAGATGAAGTTGGCAAACTCAGGTCAGTTTTCATTAGTGGCCAAAGAATTAGGGCCATAATCGCAGTTTTCGTTAATTAAATTTGTTTTGGACCTTTGCAGGATTCATGGGCCATATGCAGGATATTCAAGAAACCCAAGTCCACTACTCAAAAAGCCCTCTCTCATTCACTCTGCCTCTCTCCGATGACAGCAACGACACCACCCACAGACCATCATCACGATCACCACATTCCCAGCCCATCTCTGAAAGACAAGTTGACGTGTTCTTCCAGCGAAACGCATTCGTCAGCATCACCATCGGCACCCGGGGAAGGAACACTTGACCTCGCTTCCACCATGTTCAACGTCCCTTCGTCGGTGTTCGGAGATTGTGCCTTCTCGTTTGTCAATCTACAATCAGAGCCTGCGCAAAGGGTCGGAGCGAATGGAGGAGAGATGGCAGTGCAGAAGAGCTCAAGTGTCGACAGTTGGCGGGCGTCGTCGAGCTCGCTTCTGATGGAACGTTGCTTCACGTCGGCTTGGAGTAATTTCTTTAGTAGGTGCGCCTGAGAGGTTTCTCGACAGCACATAGTGTTAGGAGTCCAAAATCCGCATCAAAACCATGGCTGATTTTTATTTATTTTTATTTATCGAACTGACGATGGAAAACCAAGTTGCAAACTGATTCTGCAAAGGTAGCTTTGTAGTTGTTAGTCAACCACGTGATCTCTCAATAGCGTCATTCACTTATTGTACTTTCTTCAAGGGTATGTTGCATTCCACATCACCTATGCGATCGTTAAGGGAAAGGTTGCGCTGCAGTCGGATTGCCGCGGTCGGCTGCAACCATGATGCTGCGGCATCCATCCGTGGTTTTTTCTGTCACTGACAGATCCCCAGCAAGTTTGGAGATTTTGTGTTGCGTCTCTGTACTCGTTTAAGACTAAGTCCCACGTGCAGGTGAACACAGAGCATACGAAAGCTCGCCAACCCTCCCTTCATTATTTAAGGAGCCAGGGGGTAGGTGTAAGTTTTCTTTGTGAGGCAATCTCCTTCAGTCCAATCACCTGACCATGACCAGCAAAGTCTTTGGTCCTCAAACGTGCTCTCCAAGCCACAATATATATTATTATCTTCAATCAAATCCTTTACCAATCGAATATAAAAAGTCTTCTGACTTGAGAAACTCTGTTCAAGATCTAACCATTCACATTTTTTTAACTGAACAGTCTTTATCATATCGCACCATCACTATTGAGCTTTTGACCGAATCAAATCTGGATCACCTGGTGTTGGAAAGTAAGAGTTCGCGCAGACTATAAATTGCTGCATTTGCATTAGCCATTGGGCATAACAGAGAGAGAGAGAGATGGGTGAGAGTAGTGAGGTTGTATTGCTGGGTACGTTTGGTAGTTCCTACTGCAAGAGGGTCGAGCTCGCCCTTAAACTTAAGGGCATTCCTTACGCGTACGTGGAGGAAGACTTGACAAACAAGAGCGACTTGCTGCTCCGCTCCAACCCTGTCCACCGGAAAGTGCCAGTTCTCCTGCACAATGGCCATCCGATCTGCGAGTCGCTTCTCATCCTCGAATACATCGATGAGTACTGGAGCCATGCCCCCAAACTCCTCCCCGAGGATCCTTACACTAGGTCGCAAATCCGCTTTTGGGCGGACTTTTACGATCAGAAGGTACTGACCAGAGTCTCGTGCAATTGCCAGCAGAAAACACAAGCTCTAATGATTCTAACTTACAAGTACTGGAAATTTCACTCTCTCATCACGACTCACGAGCACAATAACCATGATTTATGTGAGAAGTAGGAACAGGCAAGCGATCACTTTTAGCTTGAGTCCTAACAGTTCGATGCTTTGGTGTCAAAGGTCAGGCTAGCGTCCTACCTCGTCCTCAAGACCAAAGGGAAGGATCAAGATAAGGCTCGAGAAGACCTCGCTGAGGTGCTGAGGGTGTTTGAGGAGGGCATTCAGAGGGACTTTCCTACAAAATCTCCATTCTTCAATGGTGAGAACCTGAGCTTTTTGGGCGTAGTGATCGGTACAAATGCTTGCCACTACCAAGCCTTTGAAGAGGCCATTGGTAAGATCACAGACCCACAGAGGAATGAATTGTTCTTCTCATGGGTGGATGAATTGAAGGCACACCCTTTGATGAGAGAGAATCTCCCACCTCATGACAAGCTGGTAGCCAAAATGAAGGCCAAGTTCTTCCAAACTCCAAAGGTCGCCGTATGATTTGTATTGTTTCTCACAGGTAGTAATGATACATCGTGGCCATCGCAATTAGCCGGGCATTGTGCTATATATTGTAAAATAGTTGAATAATACACACATCACTCGTACGATTGCACCTTCTTTCGTGAGATCTACCTCTGCATCTTCTGCAAATGCAACCATTTCCTAGCAGTAAGATTTCCAGATCATCACAAACCTTCCTCTTTCTTTTATGCTTCAGGCATGTGGATTATTTTCCTAAGACAGTTTCTAAATTTCCACAAATTGTTCGCGCGAAATCTATCACATGATTGCCGCTCTTTCACTAATCCATACAACCAAATGACATTGTGTTGAAACATGAAACTAGTGAAGATCTTCTTTCTTTCGGCCAGGAAATGCATAACAATCAGCTTTCCTCTGATGTAAAGCACTCCATTACTTCAAAGAACATAAATCATGCAACATAGTTTTACTTTGCTATATGATTGAGGGTTCTCTCAAGTACAAATTGAGTCTAAGAACAGAAAGCTGAACTAATAAAAAGATTCTGTATAACGGTGAAAATAACCCAAGTTTTAACAGACTTTAGAATAAGGCTATGGATTCTCCTTAGCTGACAATAGACTATGAACTGGTTGCACAAGTGACCTGAAAGATGCCCTCAGCGACATCCAAGACATCCAAGCTCAAACGGAGCCAATATGTCAAATCGTGGATCTAATATTACATCATGAATATCATAAATGATGTTTTCAGTACCATCAGCAAGCATTCCAATGGAAAAGACAAAATTTAAGTAGTTGACTTGTCGACAAAGTGATGAAAGGAGCGCTACATATGATGTTCCAAGAAGCCCAAGAAGCAAATTCGAACCCAGCAACTCATATTACTACCAAGAATTCAAAGCCAAAATTACTCTCAAAGCGCCAAACTCACTGTGGTTTTACAAATCTCAGCTCTTGGAGGCTAGCTTTTCCTTAGCCTTCTGAATCTTCAACACCTTCTTCACAATCTTTTGCTCCTCCACCAGAAAGGCCCGGATAATCCTGAAAAAACCGCTCAATTTCAGGATGAGCATTCCTAAGCATAGCATGGAAGATAATTTCAAAAAAAAAAAAAGATCCGCAGATATAGGGTTAGAATAAAGACCTCTCACGAACAGCTCCTCCTGACAATACACCACCGTAGGCACGGTTCACAGTACGGCGATTTCTCGATAATCTCGACCTCTTGTATTCAGCTGGTCTCAAATGAGGAATCTGCACATATGATCAAGGCCTATCATGAATGCGACACAAGGGACCCCAACACATGAAAAGCAAGCAAGAAATTAGACTACGACAGATGCGAATCGAAGGAATGAATTTCTAAGAGCATCGGCTGCACTCTCATCGAACAAGAATCTAGATCAAGCACAACCCACGAACAATGGTATCGGGTATAACATCGCCAATCATTTCCAGAGCATAAAGCTCTTGCCCGGCAATACCAGCTTGGAGAGAAGGCAACAGCGTGCATTTCTCTCATTGTCTACACAGTCTCGATAATCCCAGCACCAAACCGAGAAAAACCCAACGTCGAAACAAACTTCTAGACATCACAAATACTCCCGAACAGCAATAACAGTGTCCCAAAGTCGAGACCCAATACGTGCGAGAAGAAACACCTCCGCGAGAGCATCGATTCGATCCAACAGTGACAGCAAGCGCACCGCAATCATCCGGAACAACCATCCACATCATAGCACCAAAACACGAGATCTCTCTCCACACACACACACACGCACACGCCGTTTCGCGGCTAATTTCAACAATCAACCAATCGGGTCATCGGGCAAAAAATGGAGAACAGGGCGGGGGGAGAGAGAGCGTACCCCTTGAATCCTCTTGCCAGTGACGGGACATTTGGGGCCACTGGCTCTCTTCTTGGTGGTCTGGTACACTAGCTTCCCGCCTGCATTCCCCCAAAAAAAAACCCACAAGCGCAGCTCGATTCAAACTCGCAGCCCCCAGAACGAATCAGACCTCTCAGCGCCCAAGAACATTCGACACGCAAGAACGAAGCAACAAGGAAGGAAGGAAGGAAGGAGGAAACGAAGGAGATTACCCGGGGTTTTGACGACCCGGTGCTGGTTCGACTTGGTGGCGTAGCTGTGCCGCTTCCGATACGTGAGACGCTGCACCATTTCTTTTTTTTCTACTTCTTTTTCCTCCCTCCTTTATTGCCTCTAGGGTCTTTTTTTGCAGAGAGCTCGGCTTCCAGTCGCAGCAGAGAAGGGGGGAGTCGCGGTGTGCGCTAGGGTTTGCAGATATAGGAGGGGGAGCCTCTCGCTTGGCGACGACGGATGGACGCCCTAGATCCGACGGCTGCGAACGAGCTCTTCGTCTTTCGATCCGACGGCAATGCGTTGGGGAGATGACATGGGCCTGAGCTGAGCCCGGCCCATTTCATGGACTTCTATGCATCCTATATCGCTTATGCGCTGTTAAATCATTTAAAATGAAAAAGAAAATGTGTTCAAATTAAATTAGGAATGAGATTAATAAACGAATCTTAAAATTCCTAATTAATGTAAAAGCACATAAATTGAATTGGAAATGTAAGTAAACCATGTGTTGGGTCAATCCACTAAAAATTTTTTTTATAAAAATGGAACATTGATTTATAAAAAAAAATCTCTTTACAAAATTCCAACCCGTATCGAGCTTAAATTGTTTGTTGGTCGTGCCTTAATTTGCAAAAAAAAAAAGAAAAAAAATATGAAGTTGCACAATAAAGGCCAGTGGTATTAGTAAAATGCACTTACATTGAATCAGCTTATTTTCTTTCGCTAATTTCAATCAAAATTTATAGGTGGTTGTCAAAATGCCGAAAAAGATTACGGATTAAACAACAAATAAACGATAAAATCATGTGTGGGCAAAGCATGGATGGTCCCTATTCTCACAGCCCGCACAGCCTGCTTTCTACCTACTTTTCTCACTTGTAGCCTTCACCCGCCCACGTGTCGGCATGCCATTGGGGAAATCCCGATTGGCCATAGCCCGAAACAAGAAAAAGAAGCCTTAGCTACATCCGGATCACATATAGCATTGAATGAGGTGGCTCCTACGGTTGGGGTTTAGGGACTACATTGAAGATTTTCATATAGTTCAGTGACTAAATTGAACATGTACCAAAAGTCCAGGGACCAAATTGAACAAATTAAAAGTTTAGGGACCATATTGCACATTATGCTAAAGTTCAAGGACCACATTGAATAAATTAAAAATTCATGGACCAAATTACATGTTGGGCCAAAGTTTAGGGACTACTTGTGTTATTATCCAAAAAAAAAAATACCTTTTAGGGTAAATGAGGTCCAACATCACTCAACATTGATATCATAACTCAGTTTACCAACAAATCTGGATCCAATATTCATACAGGAGATATGGGTTGTTGTTGCTCCGACCAAGGGCCCAATGTGTGAGGGGAAGATTGTTGAGCCTTATTCGACATTGGTTGTAGAAGGACTTAGGTAAGTTTTCGAGCTAGTTTTTTTGGGTGAGAGAGACCCATTTGATGCAACGATACATGTGTGATGACTTCTATGTATCAAATGTCAGAGCTTCTAGAGAATTGCCATGTTCGACATTCATGTACAGTTCATTGCGTTAATTATTATACTAAATTGGAGGTCGTTGCGCCTTTTTTGAACACTGTACAAGAGGTGTTACCGCAGGTTCCAAATCCACTGCCCTCGCAAGAGGCCCCGCCGCTGGTTCCCGATCAAAACCCCTTTTCGGTCGAGGATATCTCTTCGGAACCTGATCTCGATTATGTCAAAGAACTATTAAGAAATAGACTTATTATACATTGACTAGGTCAAAAGGGTAGAACTGTATCGGATGACGAAATCGCCCTTATTATCGACCGGAAGGAGAAAATCCTTTCAAGAATGTTCGACTTAGATTCCAACCCATTTTGGAATCAGCGTCGACATACACTTATTCAGGAACGTACAGTTCATTGCGTTCATTATTATACTAAATTGTGAGCTATTTTTAACATGCATAACAATGTTCACAGGTTTATGCTAAGCGCTCGACCGGAATAGGTAAATCTCGGGTCAATGAAATGTTCGACTCGCCTAGAATGCACATGGAATTCAGGCCAGCCCACGCAATCCTAAGATTACTCTGAATGAAGAAAATGTGATTTGAACATGGAATCTGTCGCATCCGAAACAAACGTTTGACCACTCAAGCAATCTCTCGGGAATAGGTCGAAACTGGTTTTACTAGTAAATAAACCTTAATTAGCTCATCCTGAGAAATTCCCTCTTGACTGAATCCCTTCTCACCAAGAGTGTGAGTTGCGAGGAGAAAAGAGTTGCTTGCTACTACTGCTTCTTCCATTCTCATTTCATCTTTTTCTTCCCGAGGCACGGCAACGGATGACAATTCTAAACACGGCACGAGAAGACGACTCGACCACGACGCGAAAATGCAGAGGAGAAAAGGAAAGTGTCTCATAACAGCAGCACCCTCTCTCTTCCAGCTTTGCACAAGGATTTGGCATCTTATTTTTTATGTCTATATACATCACAACTATTACAGAGACCGTGAGAAAGATGCATGTGTGCACCGCAGGGACCATGCAAAGTACACATCCTGACGGTAAACAATATCGCTACCAGCGCCACAGCAATCCAGTCTCACCCTATATTCCTAATCCTGTTTTTCTGTAAAATGTTGCCGTCGGCGAGCAAAAACTCCGCGGCAAAAGCCTCGCCCTCCGATCTCAACAGGGGATGAGCAAGAAAGACGGTTCCACGCAGATCTTCCTACTAACGATGTTGATCCGGTCCAACTTATCGCGACACCATGCTAACTGATCTCTCGCGACCTTCCGCATGCTCAGAACTCTCGAGACCAATCTCAGCTCGACCTGAGCGAACAGAATCGCGGGATCCAGCCGGTCACGAGGCTTTTGGAACCTCTTCACTATGCAGTTTCCGCTCCTCACTATGTCCTTGAGCCTTCTTTCCTTCTGCAAGCAAGAGGGATTCGATTAGCTGAGCTGATATTTTGAAAAGTAAGTGAAGTATAATATGGAATGCCCATGTGTGCAGAACACAACAAACCTTTTGAAGTTGAGCCCTGAGAGCTGTCAGAAGTACCAAATCTGCCGAGTCTTGTTCGTTGAGCTGACTTTGCTTTAAACCTCCGTCGGGTTCGTGTCTATCAGCACGGATAAAATCCCAAAAAACTCGCATTGATTCCTCTATGATCTCTACCAAAGTCTCGATTGAGATAGCATCCTCCTCGGCCGCTTTTCCCTTGTTATTCCTGGAGCTGTCGTCTGCATATTGCAATAGTTTGATAGTTACTTATCTAGCAATCTGTTGATTTACATGCAATTTTCGTTTTTTGCGTATTACTCGAATGGGCTTTTGAACTTATTTCGGTCTGTAACATGTCGGCATTGAAACTGAGACCCCTTCTGAACCAAATGGAATGAGATCTAATTGGTTTTAGTCAGTTTTTGAACTTGATTTTGCTCCAATTTGTTGTCCTCTCAATTCGACAAATCTAACCAAGCCCACGATAGGATTTCAGCTCAGCATTCACACATCGAATTCAATAGCTCGGTCATGTTTGGAATGCATCCTCTAATTTACCTCTTATGGCCGGCACCTGGAGGAGGCCACGCAGGACGCATCTGTTCTTGACGTAATACTCGATCCTCGGCCCTTGAAATGGCTCGTCCTCTATAAATCTCTGGAGAAGCACTCGGAGCAGTTGGAACTCGCCAGCTACTTGATTGTAACGGCGAAACCCTCCATGATCAAACTCTCTCATCTCCCGGGCTTTCCCGTACTGCCACTGAAGAATCTCCCACGAGAGGCAAGCATGTCCTACATAAACCATTTCGAGGTCACCATGTAGCGCGACCATGGACTCCGCCATGGAGTCAATCTTGGGCCTCCTCAATCTGTTTGTCCAGCTCTGCGAGAGGAGAACTTTACGGTTCCTATTCGAGTTAAGCGGTTCTCTCAGTTGGAGCAGCCCTGCAGATGATCATGACACAGTCTAGCTAAATCCAGAAACCTTTTGTCAAGTTTGCAGCCAAGCAAATACCAATTAGGAGCGAGATGTCTGTCAATAAAATTAAAGTCACCATACGAGTTTGGTGCATCATTATGCAGAGAAACTCAAGTGCATCGAGTGGGTAGGTAGAGAAACTGTCGCAAAATTTTAGGTGCACCAGTTACCTGTCCTATTCACATGAAAAATTAATGGAGGAGAAAGAAGAGAACATAAATTTTTGAAACAGAGTGACAAGGACTTTTAAAGAAATTGGTGGCTTTTGTGGTACAAGGAGTGGACAGCAAATTGGGCTGCTTTACACGAGCACCAGTTGATTTGAAAGAACTCGAAAATGGAATAAAGATTTCAAAACAGGGGATGGAGACCCACCGTCCATCATGCTTCTTTTAAAAGATCTTCCTCACAGGAATTGCACATCTTTGGTCTGTGCGGCTCCTACTTTATCAAAATTGAATTTGTTTATGCTAAGAGAGTCGCCATTTATACGCTTCAAATTAAAAAAAAAGGGCGATCATTGCGGAGTCAAAAGAAGTCTATCAGATCCCACCAGGGACAAAAGCGTTCCATTATTAGCTCCTCATTATTGTCAGACAGATTCCCAAGAATAGAAAATCGGGAACTGCAAACATAGGAATCAAATTCAATCCTATAATGCACTGGTCGATCAAATTTACTTCTGCTGTGTATGTATCTACTGCGTCAATGACAAATTGTAATAAAATCAGAGTGAAAGGATCAACATTCTTCCAAATTATTCACCGGTTAATCAAAGTGACTTCTGCTAAGATTTGCTCTGTCCCGTTCTGTTTGCTATGTGAATGAGAATTGTAGCAAAACGAAAGTGAAAGGATCAAGATTTTGGCGAGTAAAACTTACCGATAGCATGTAGAGTCTGGTAGTTCAAGATGTCCAATTTCCGCATTTTCTCTGCATAGCTCTTGTACACTTTCTGAATCTCCTGAAGCAGATCTTTGTGCTCGAGCTTCTGGTCGAGCTTCAGCGGCTTCAACTTGAGATCGGCGTCGCCCACCATCATTGGAGAGTCTGTTTCGGATTCTTCTAAGATCGTGGGAAGTCCTCCGGTTCTCACATTTTTAAGCTCCATCTTTAGCTGCTCTATTATGTCATCATGCTCCCAGTCCCAATTATCATCAGAATCCGATGCTGGTGAATTATCTTGAAAATGCACGAGTTCCGGGGAATTTTCTGAATTAGCCGTCATCGGTTCCATGTCGTTGGATGACGGATTTTCCCCTTCCCCATCGTCCTCGACTGAATTTTTGCAGGACGACCAATTTGAAGTGGAGAAATTCGTTTTCTGCAATTCAACTTCTATGTAGTCCTCGTCAGATTCCGATTCACTATCACTAAATTGATGTGCAGAGAAGGCTGCTTCTGGGTCTAACGTAGTTTCACTGAGCATTTCATCTTCTTCAGAACTTGGAATTCTTTCGTCGCCGTTCAAATCTACGGCAGCGTCGACTGTGCAATTTTCCAGGTGCTGTTGTTTATGGGCATCGAAAGTATTGGCTGAATCAGACCCAAAAACAATTCCATCATCTGAGCAAACCGATTCTAACTCTGGATCAACTTGATCAGCTTGAGACAAGAGATCATCCAAAATCATTTCCTCTTCATCAAGAAAAGCATCATCATCCAAAAATTCATCTTCTGATTCCAGAACCTCTGCCTTTTCACTAAGCTGCTGATCCATCAATTGCTCCCTTACCTTGTTATCAAGGACTTCATCCATTGCGATGCTTTGAACAGAGCCATCTTTCTCGTGAGAATCCTCCTCTATTTGCTCTTGTGCTTCAGTCTCCTCTTCACCGAACTCTTTGCCGACATAATGCCCAACATCAAGATCTTTACTATGGATCGTGTAATCATCGCTTGAACCCAGAAACACCTCTTGGACAGTGAAGCTCATGATTTTTGGTTGCTCCACAAATCCGCTGATGTCTCTCCCAGTGCAGAACTCATACTTGCTCGACGCAGTTTCCACAAAAACAGAGCCCTCTTCGTCTCCATCACTTCCAGCAACATCTTCGTTTTGTTCTCTGTTTTCAATCTCTCTGCCCTCCGAATACATCCCATCGTCTTCATGTGAACCAGCAAAACAGGAACTTTCTTCGTTCTTCTCAAATTTTTCAGCTGCTTGAAATCTACAAAAAAAAAAGGGCCAAAATTTAACACAAATTATCTCAACCATTACTTACTTCAAGAATTCACCAAAAAAACGAACCGACTTCTTTTCATAGCAAACCTGGAGATGTATCTGCCCACTGATCCAAAGACGAAGAACAAGAAGTTGCAGAGCAAAATCCAGAACGAGGCCACGAACCCGGACATGTTTCCGTGCAGGAACCGGTTCGGCAATCCTCTGCCAGCCAAATTCAGATGGGCTTTCAAGAAAGACAACTCTCGGGTACCCATCAATTCAATCAACCTCTGCGTCTGTTCTTTTTCTCATTTTTTTCTCGATCGCAAGCAAAGTTAAGAGTGACTCGCAAGCCCCTTGTTTCTTTCTCCATTACAATTCATTTACTTATTCCCCGGAACGAAGTGGACTCTCCACTTGCAGACAGCGAAATTTATGGAGAGAATTTCAGGCCGCCACGAGAGACTGTGCGAGAGGAAGAGGAGAACTTTCGGCTCCCAACCCGTTCACAGGAACAAGATTAAATAAACGCGGACTCCCTCCCTGCGCCTTTCTCTTTCTCCTTCGGGTCGCTTTGCATTTCCAAGAGACGATCTTACCTCAAGTTCCAATTTCTCGTTTTTCCTTTTTCTTTTAACGTTCCTGTCGGAGTTAAAAGAAGAAAGAATATGGGATTTTGTGGGTTGGAAAGACTCGATTGGAAGCGACACGTTTCGGTGACGGGGACGATGGAGCGTCAGAAGAAAATATCAGCTGAAGTTGCACTGTGTTTGGTTGAGAGTTAAGGCAGTGTGCCCTTTCCTCGTGACCTGGTCGGTGTTTGTTCTTCGTCCTTTTTAAATTACTGATTGAATTGCGTCTCTTCCTCTATTAAGAGGTTAAGCTGCTTCGTCTGAGGCCATGTTTGGATTTAGACATCTCTCGGACGTTAAACACAAGGACGGTATCCCCTTTTCCTTGGAAAAAAAAAAGATTCATGAGGAATTAGAGGAACTGGGTGTGCAGGCAATACTGTTAACTCGCCAGATACATATACCTGGACAGGCGAGGCGGCTTCAGTCAAAGCTTCGGCTTCTGCTCTTTGGCGAGGAAACCTGTGACCGCCAAGGATTCAAAGAGTACCCTAGTTGCAGGTTTTTTCTTCGTGCTTTTTAATGTACCGATTGAATTGTGTCTATGATGTATGTTTATCTCTACAGACGGAGAGTGTGCGATGCCGTCACAGACCAAACTAAATTAGTGGCAGAACCACCGAGTCTTCTGGTCTTGATGGAAAGGGTCAACCCCCCGTTGTTGGTTTAGGTTTTTTTTTTGGCGGGCAAAATGACGGTTGAACCCCACTAGTGACGAGAGGTAGACTGTTCAAGATCTTTACATAGTAGATTTTTAGGGTCCAAAAGTGAGTAAATGTTACCTGTGTGAATGCATAATGCGGACAAAACTTCTAAGAAGTGAGTTATCGTAGATGGAATTTAGCCGAGCAAGAAAACGATCGGGACCTCGTACCTTTGTCATCTTGAGATCTCGAATTCTGTTCGTGCTCGGCTCAATCTCATTAAGGTTGTGTCGCTATATGAAGTAGCTCTCTCTGAATCTCTTTTTCAAATGTGGACGATCTGTCTTTGACTGGATCAAAGGGATAGACTTAGTCTGACTTGGGAAAATTGATTAGACGAAATATCCGATTCGTTTAGATTCGATACGAATCGCGAGCTGGAAAGAAGAGCTTGATGCAAATGGAGTTGACATTGTTTATGGGACTCTCCCGTCCATATCCCCACTGAATCGCTTGGACCATCGTCCTTTTGGCAATGGTAGCCTATGTGCCCTTCACCCACCTAACCATACTTAAACCAACATACGTACTTGCTCGTGTACTTAAAATTAATTTGTAATGGCCAACTCATATTGTTTAGAAGAAGACTCTGTGCACTTGCATGTGTGAAGGGGTTCTTTAGTCCCCTTTATTCATGATTGAACACACGTCATGGATCATGCGAGAGAGCCTCCACCTAATGGTCTGATTTGGAGCATCAAGAAAAACAATGGGGTTGTTCAGGCTCATCTGTTCAAATTTTTTTTTTCTTTATTAAGTTAATACCACGAAAAATCTCAAACTGATATATTTGTGACAAATTTACCATAAATTAATTTTTTGACCACAAAAAACTTCAAACTGGTATACTTGTGACAAATTTACCCCCTGTTAGTTTTCGTTAAATTTTACAGTCAAATTGCCGAGTTGGATGGCACGTGGCATTTGATGGGTGTACAAGTTTGGGATTTTACCCCTCCGTTTATCACAGATTTATCTAGTTGTGATTTTTCACGATATTAATTCAATTTAACGGAAGATGAATTTGTAACAAGTGAATCAGTTTGGAGTTTTTAGTGATCAAAAAATTAATTTAAAGTAAATTTATCACAGATGTATCGATTTAGGATTTTTCGTGGTACGGACCATTCTTTATTAAGGGTCATGATTCAGCCTCGAAAGGATCGGCTCTTATGTCTATATTTGTTGGCGCAAGTCATTTTTAAGGCCACCAAGAAGGGCTCTGAAATCAAGATCAAGAAATCATGGTGCGTGCTAAAAACCCAGATGTGATATGCCATCACATTGAGATTGAAAGATTGGGCGGCTGTGAATTGTCCCTAATTAATGATGGAAAAAATTGAAAGCGATGATAGTAATGACATTTAGCATATGTTTCCACCACAAAATGGAAAAACACCTAATCCATCGCTAGATTTCGCTTGTCCCGCTATGATCTTCCTTGTAATGGATCGTTCACGCTGCATAAGGACATGAAATGGCTAGGTCCAATGGATTAATATGGCCAGAAATTCTGAACCGATGTATTCGTGGTGTATTTATCTCGAACTAATTTTCGTATCGCAAAATATTTCAATCTAGAGCAGCCGTGCCCTATTTATCATAAACTAATTTCGTGTACGAAAAATCTCAAATAAAGACACCCGCGGTAAATCTATCCCATTTTCTCTTATGTCTTTTATGTGTCGAGACCTATCTGGAAATTTTATTCATTTCTTCACTATCGGTTCTTCGATCGCACGAATCTTCATGATCTCGAGCAGCTCTTGAGCTCTTTTCCTTTCTTGTGCTTCCGCGATGGAGATCGAGTTCAAGTTCAGGAGCACAATGGACTTCGACTTGATCGATGACACCGAGTTTCTATGTTAGTTGGCGATCTCAGTTCTACGATTCGTCGTCCGAAGAACCCCCAGATATTTCTTCCGACTTCGATCTTCTCCTTTTCGACCTCGCGACGGGCAAAGGCACGAGCCTTTCGTGTCAATTTGTCTTTCGCAGAATCGCACAATTCACCTTAACGTAAGGGCTTCGAAATGGAACCGCGCTACGAAACCAGACGAGAACCGATGTCAGAAGCCGTTTGGATTTATGCGATCTTTTTGATTGACTACGCAGCATCGCATCGATACGTCAAGCTTTCTCCTTTAGCCAAGAATCTGATTAGATGTCCCAAGCGCATCGCTCTCGCGGTCGGCCAGGATCGTGCCGTGACGAGCGGCGGGTGGGGGGGGGGGAAGAAGAAGGGAGAGACGACGACCGGGACTATGTCTAAGAGGAAGGCAAGGCTTTTTCGACGGGCTTCGTGGCGTGACGTGAGTAAAATAAATGACGGAAAGATAGGTAGGACATATTCCCCCGTTGACGATGTCCTCCCTCTTTTGTTTTTTGGAAGCTTGAGTGAGGCATAATGACAAACACGTTGCGGGCGCTTCGATTTCCTGGACGGAAAGGACGATTCCCTCGGGTTTACGTCGACGACGGGCTGGTCAACTTCAACACCCCCACCCCGCGCGTTGCCTTTTCTGGGCTCACACGTTTTTGAGGGAACCAAAACTTGGGGTCGGCCTCGCGGTCCACACTTGGGGGATCGTGCGAGTGCGCGGGATGCGGTTCGGATTGGAAGGATCGACTTTAGCTCGTGTCCCGATTCTTCTTCCTCAACGTGCGAGGAAAGCGTGGTGTCTCTTGTCGTGGTCTGATCGGGTCGTGTCGATCGGAACCGTTTCGCCCAATCGATCTGGACGCCGTTCGGCCTGTGTAGTTTCCGCGGAGCTCGACAACGCTCGAACTCCGTCTCGATCTATTCTGACTTTTTCCATCTCGAATTTGCTCCAAGGTCCCACTTAATTTGAAATAGATTGGAATGTTTGTTTAATCGAAAATTGTTAATGTTATGTCTCGAGTTTGAGCCCACTACGGAATCCGGATGTTAATTAGGAATTTCCCGAGTACTACAGTAATAAGGAAGTCGCCACTTTAATTTTGGCAAAGTCAATTGGCGGAAGCTATAGACTAGTAGGGGTGTCAACGGCTTGGTCCGGTTCGGATTTTCCGTACCGAACCGAACCGAACCGATAGGGTGAGCAGCTAAACTGAACTGAACCGCACCCCGAACTGAGTATGAACCAAATCAAAAACCTGGATCGAATCGGTTGGGTTTTTGGTTTTCCTTCACGCCCCGAATTGAGCATGAACTGAGCATGAACCGAACTAAGAAAAGAGATTTTCAAGTTGGGCGTTTAATTTTTGTTGAGAATTTTGGTTCGAACCGAACCAAACTACCCAAATTAGAAAAAAAAAAAAAGAATGGTTATTTTTTCCATTATCCGAACTGAAAACCGAACCGAAAATTCACGAAATTTCGGTTCGGCTCGGTTTCGATTTCGGTTCGGTTTTCCGGTTCGGCTTTCACACCCATGATATAGAGAATTCTTTTCTTGGTTTGATTAGCTTTTATATCTTTGGGGGCCCGCTTTCTATATTTGAGTGCTGTGGGACTCTCGTTGATTTGGTGGAAAGAGATCAAAGGGGTGAAATCGCTTGGGTATACAAAAATTTAAAGTTCAGGAGGGCAATCGGTAACTTTTTAAAAGTTCGGGATTAATGTACAACGATGTCAAAGTCTTGGGGAAGTAATATGTAACTTTTCAAAATGCGGGGAGGGATTAAGATGAAAATTCATAAGTCTGGCCCGGCCCAAACCCTGCGGGTTTTCGTACAATTTCTAATACTTATAATTATATCTCATTAATACTTTTTATCCTAAGTGAAAAAAAGGAAGAACTCACGAGTGAATTATTTGTTTTGTTATACTATTGAATTGATATTATGTTATTCTTGAAAGCAGGGAACTTTTCAAGTGAAAAAAATTACTTATTAAATATTTTTAAAAAAAATTTAAGATTCCGAGCTCAGCCTGGTCCAAACCAAACAAGTCCGAAATTTTTAGGTCGGGCTTGTTCAGGTTCTGAGCTCTATTTCCGGCTTGTATTATCTGAGCCCAAAAAGGACAACCCAATGCCATGTTTAAAAAAAAGAAAAAAAGAATGCCATGTTAGTATTTATATTTAGGGTTATTATCATGAAAAATCTCATCATAAATTTACTTCAAAAACCTCAAAATGGTATAAATTTACTTTCTGTTAGTTTCCGTTAAATTTTACTGTCAAATTATTTAGTTTACTGACACGTGGCTGTTGACAAATATACCAGTTTGGGGTTTTACCCTCCGTTTATCCTAGGTGTATTAGCTTGCGATTTTTTTTTTGTATTAATTCAATTTAACGGAGAGTAAATTTGTCAAAAATGTATCAATTTGGAGTTTTTGGTGATCAAAAAATTAGTTCAGGGTATATTTGTCACAACAGTTTGAAGTTTTTCGTGGTATTAACCTTTTATAGTTATATTAACTCTAAAAAATAAAAGCACATTATGCAAAGACCCAAAATGGTTAATATCATGAAAAATCCCAAAATGGTATATTTGCGACAAACTTACCTTACGTTAATTTCCATTAAATTTTACCATTAAATTGTTGAGTTAGATCACCCGTGGTAGTTGATGGGCGTACCAATTTGGAGTTTTACTCTCCCTTTGTCACAGGTGTACTTTTTCGTAGTATTAATTTAATTTAACAGAAATTAACGGAGGATAAATTTCTCGACAAATGTACTAATTTAAAATTTTTGATAATTAAAAAAATTAATTTGAGATGAATTTATATCAGTTTGGATTTTTCGTGCAATTAACCTTAATAAAAACCTAAAAAAGTCAGCCATGCCTCCTTCGTCCCTTCTTTTCTCGTTGGTTCCCGCCGCCTTCGCCCCCGCCGCCCTCGCCCCGCCGCGGTTGGAAGAAATTCTCGACTCCTTCCCGCGCTCGGTCGCCGGGCGGTCGCGCCGGAGTCCTCTTCCCATGGAAGACGATGAAGAAGGCGAGGCGCTCGACTTCATGTGCCCCCGTTGCGGCGGCATCGGCTTCGCCGACGGCTCCGACGGCTTCTTCTACTGCGTCCACTGCGGCACCCAGGCCGATGACATCGTCGACACCGGCGTCGCCGACGAGGACTTCGTCGACAAGGGCGGCGGCGACGACCACGACGGCCGCGGCGCCCTCTACCTGGCCAGCCACCGCCGCCGCCGCCACCACCTCCCCGCCGCCAAGCCCGAGCCATACCACTCCCAACCCCAGATGTGGGACCAGCTAACCCTAACTCCGCAGCTCAAGACGCCCAAAAAGGAGGAAGGCGTCGATCATGATGGAATCGGGCCGACGGAGCCCGAGGACTTTGGGAATCCGGGCTCGGCCAGGCGGAGGGCGATTGGCTACGAGGATTACTACAATGAGGTGAGGATCAGGTATGTGATGGGGCTGCAGACGATGGTGCAGCTCCAGTGCGAGGCTCTCGTGAGGGAGTTCGGCGCAACGCCGCTGATTTGTGGGATTGCCGGGCCGATTTGGCTGAGGTTCGTCGCGGGCACTCGGGTTTTCTCGGACGAGTGGGCGGATGAGACCTTTCACGAGTCCGAGATGCAGACACAAGGTGCGCTGATTCCATGTCTCTGTAATTTAACCATGCTCTGAAGAACTTGTGCCTTCCAAGCTGTGATCAATGACTTGTAGCTTTAACATTGCATTGTAATCTTTCGTGGCTCTGTAATTTTAGCATGAAAAGTTTGGAGGAAACACCTTCATCTGCAGCTATTCAGGGCATTCTTAATTGTGTGTGTGTGTGTGTGTGTGAGAGAGAGAGAGAGAGAGAGAGAGAGAGAGAGAGAGAGAGAGAGAGAGAGAGAGAGAGAGAGAGTGTCTACAGATGATATGTGTGCATTTGAGTTAGAAGATGTTTGTATAAGTTTTGTTTTCTGCTGTTTGTCTACAGATGATATGTGTGCATGCTTAACCAACCTTTCGCTTCTCATGTTTCAATCACCCTGTTTTCTTAAATTGATTCTGCATTGTAATCTCTGTGTATTTGGTCGCAGGAGAACCAAAAGATTTTAGGCCTCGTGCTAAGTTCAGAGCAGAACCACACAATATGCATGGTAAACGAGCAGTGATGATATGGTATAGGACCTTGAGAAAAAAGATACCATTATCTTGTTCTTTAGCTATTTGTTTCCTGGCTTGTCATGTTGCTAGGGAACCGATCCTCCCGACTGACATAATCAAGTGGTCAGTTGAAGGGAAGCTTCCATATTTTGCTGCTTTCCGTGACATCGAAAAGAGCATTGGTCCACCATCAGCTGCTTGTCCTTTGAGTTCCAATCTTATGTTTAGGCCTTCTCAAGAAGTTCCATCACAGAAGTTAGAAGCTATGGCAGCTTCCATTGCTCTGTCCATAGGTTTGGATGTGCCGCCTGTGAACTTCTATGCAATTTGTTGCCGCTATCTCAATCAGTTATGCCTACCAGCGGAGAAAATTTTTCCACATGCATGCCGATTACAGGAATGGTCAATGCCTCCTGATTTATGGTTGTCAGCAAATGAGTTGAGGCTTCCAACTCGTGTCTGTGTTATGTCAATACTCATGGTAGCAATAAGAATTCTTTATAATATACATGGTTTCGGAGCATGGGAGAAGAGCTTGACTGATCACCAAGATATGTCTTCAACATCAAGTGATCAAGTTGGATCTGAAAATACAGGGGGTTCCAGAATGAGGGAAGATGTTGAAAATGGTTCTGGTTTTTATTCTGGTGCTGGGGATGATTTAGATACAAGATTGGAAGCAGAAGCCTCAGATGGTGATAAGTCTGACTTTGATGCTAAGGAGCTTCTACGAAACCTCAATGCTAGAGACAATGACTTCCATGACTCATATGGTACCTAATTGCATTTGATAATTTAACATAATTGTTTAAAATGTTTTATCTATCACAACATGCTTTGAAAGGTTTTTTGGGCTTGATGTGATGAATGAATAATCAGTGTAGTTTTGTGTTACATCTTTTTGTGTGGACAGAGTACTGCAAAGACTTGCCCACCTATCTCCAGTATTGCAAAGATGTTGTTTTTGCTGGTATAGAACCATCTTTGGAGGACTTTGAGGAAGAAAGAGCTATAGATCGGCTATGGGATTTTTATCAGAAGCACAAGGTAACATATGATATAATTCCATCATCAATTCTTACTTGGACTGTGAAGTTAATTTTTACAGATCTTTGATAGAAGCCTGTCCTGGTATTTGATGCTCTTACCTTTATTCTTATCCAACGGGATTTGTGATTGATGTCAGGATGGTGAACAAACGGAAAGGCTGGGGCTTCACTTTGATGGTGCTTTTAATCAAAAGAGGGCTAGAGATAATGTTAATGGATGTTCGAAGAATTCATTTATAGGCAACAAAAGGCTTAATAGTGGAACTCCTGATGCAAATGGAAGCCTTTTGGACAGCACAGATGATGATGCTTCTTCGCAGGGTTCATTAGCAGATGATAACATGAAACCTAGCAATCGCCCATCTTCAGAAAGTTACCAAGACAGAGCCATTAGACAGCTGAAATTAGACATGGAAGAGAATAGGTTCTTCTACATTCCTCCAAGGGTAAAGGTCAAGAGACTTGATTATCTTCATTATGTTAGGAAGAGGGATCACGGTGCATTAGCTTATGTTGCCCATGCTGATTATTACATATTGCTTCATGCTTGTGCTAGAGTAGCTCAGGTTGAGATTAGATGTATGCACATGGGTGTTATGAATTTTGAGAGGAGATTAGCCTGGATGGAAAATAGAATAGAACACTGCCTGCATTTAACCCCTCCTAAATTATCTTGCGAGTTCTGTAGTGATGAGACTCAAGAAGATGATGCGGACGATGTGATTAACCTTTCTAGTCTGAATATATAAGATATATAAAATTTGCTGTCTCATATGTCTCAAGAGTTGATTGCAGCCTGGCTACTCTGTTTACAAAGTGAATAGTATACTGTTTATGGGACATTTTGTGCGTAGGTTTTGTACCACGAGCTCTCAGGCGTTCTGCTCCTTTCCAATCTTCCATAAGATGAATGTAGTGTGAAGTGCAAAAGGCCTGGTTTAAGCTGGACCAAGAACTTGTGGTATTAACAAGGGTGCATTTGGTAACCATTCTGTTTCCGAAAACAATTCTGTTTAGAAATGATTCTTCTTCATTCCATTCCCGAAAACAATTTCTAAGCATTTGAAGACGTTTGGTAATTGCCCAAAATTTCTATTCTTGAAATAGAAAAAGAACAGAAATGTGTTTGGTAACTGCACAAATTTTTTTTATTAATAATATTTTAAATATTTTAATATTTCTTTCTCTTTTTTTTTTCCTTTTTTTTTTCTTCTTCTTCCTCTTCCTTGGCCCATGGCCAAGTCTCTAGCGCCAGCGACCGGCCACAGGCTAGGAAGAAAACAAAGAAGAAAACCAAGAAGAAGAAGAAGAAAAAAAATTTCTTTTTCATTTTTTATTTTTGTTCCTAGAATCAAGAAGTAACTTTTTTTTACTTCTTGATTCTGTTTAAAAACTGATTCAGGGAATAAATTTATGCGAATTTATGCCCGGAAACAAAAAATCTACCAAACGGATTTTTATTCTTTTTTTGTTCTCTGGAACAAAAGAATAAAATCAGTCAATATTTAACAAGTTACCAAACGCACAGCAAGTGGCCGAAAGAAAGTAGGCAAATCCAATTTTATACTATATCTGGCTAAAAATATTAGCTGCGGCATTTCCTGTTTCTTTTTTTGCACATTGCTGATAAACTGCAAATAACAAGCATGATGCAAGGGGGAAAAGTATACTACCTTGTAACATGTGACTTCGATTGGTGGAGAGATGGTTTACTTATTGATGATATGAGCTGTTTTAGCAGACGCCCTGGTCTTTTCTCATTGACCTCGTCTTGTGATTTTCACCTTCACAAGCTCATGTTTCGACGATCTCATTCCGTATTTATTTGAGTGACGCAATAAATCGCCAGCAAAGTGGTTATTTCTTATAATCGAACAAAAGCGAAGAGCGAAGCCAAATTACCAAGTTTATGAGGTGAAGGAGTAAACTTGAACAGTTGTAAATTTTAGAATATGTTTACCCGTCGCATGAGCCTGGGACAGTTAATTTTGAAGGGACTCAGATCGTTGACTGAGATGAAAAGAGGAAGTTCAAATTTTATGCTGTATAATTGCCTAGATGTACTCCTCTCGGATGACATACAACCCAAGTTAAAATTAAAGCTCAGCTAGGCTCTTGAAGGGACTCCTGTTGAGAGGAACTGCTAATTCGGCAGAAAGTTTTTTACTCCCCAGGCTCGAAACATATAAAGGAACCGAGTTTGCAATAATCCCTTTGTCTATCTCGCACCGTCCCATGCTTAGAGAAGAAGTAGGAAGAAGAATTTGCGCCGTCATCTAAGCTGGACCCTCTCTCGGGTCTATGATGCTTGCTTGCAAGAACTGAGATGTGATGGTCTTACTCTCAATACAAATCCTACAATAGCTTAGCTTTGCCTGTACAAGTTGCTTTATGACAATAGCTGACAAAACACAATACTCAGAGAAACAAATCAACCTTCACACAGCCTCCCGTTGAAGGCGGGATAACTTTAAATGCTAGCCTTCACATCTCCGAGGAAACTCCTCCTTCCAGTCTGTCTAATTAGCTTGCTCGACCTTTTCTTTTAGTCGAAGGAACCACACTTGAATAGATTTAGGACCTGTTGTGGATGGGATCCGCTCCTCTTTGGACTTGTCTTTTGCTCGATGTGTTAGGATCGAATGTCTTTGTCACACTTGAAGACATCTTTGTGTTCATGCCCACTGTGCCAATAGTCTTCAAACTGCGTCGACTCTGGGGTGCTTTTCCCTGATCTTCTTGCTCCCTCCTGAAAACGAGCTCTACACTTATTACACCGCGGATGTTATCGAGGTCCGACGCTAAGAAGAAGATGCATACGAGCAGTATAAGGGCTCTGTTTAAGATGAAGCCCATGACTGTGGTTTGCGGAAGGACAAGAAAGAGCAGCACGAAAACTCCCTCTGTTTACTGTAATATCAGGAGTGTAGGTGATTTGGAGACCTTCGTCCTCTTCTTTCTGTTCCAACTCCCGCAAATATAAGCCTTTGATCTATCAGTAGTGGATTTGTTATTGCACTTAATAGCATAAAGTACGGAGGGGCCCCTAACAGCTAGAGGGAATTCAGATCACTTAAAAATCTTTAGCCTGCCTGCAATCGAAGCAAATAAGCATATTAACGGTGCTATATGGGGAATCCGGTAAGTATGAATAAAGTTCTTGGAACATTACCGTTGAGAAGCCAAGCATCTTTCTTCAATATATCCTAATCTATCTGTCATTTTTCTGATTTGATCTTTTGGCAGGGGCCAAATGCCTCTTGGACAACACTCACCTTGCCACATAGGTAGGTGCGCAGGGGATTTTTATAAAGAGGGAACTCAAATCTGCTTAAAATCTGTATCTAAAGGTTCCTTTTCCCTTTTAAAAAAAGGATGTCTTAACGAACACTCGGGTTGATATTTGCTGACAGACTTACATCTTGGATGTTTTTCTTAGGATCAAGAGCATGTGTGTTGTTAACACTGAGGTTGATATTAGCCGACATAGAGTCATACCTTGGATCAGTTTTCATAGGTTACTGTGAATGTATTCTGGTGATTGAAATATCTTATTATCAAGGAAGGGTAGTGTGTTATGTTTACCTTTGATGAAGTGGGGTCGTGCTACAGTGTCAAGTAAGACACATTATTGAGAATCAAATGAGATGGTGTAGGGAGACTGAACAGCAGTGAAAAGAAGCAAAAAATTCTTTATGCTTTCGTTTCTGGACTGCTTGGATATATAGCAGGCCAAAATTCCAACCCTGTTTCCCCTGGTTCTCTTCTTGTTTACACTTTAATGATGGATACAGTCTCTTTTAATGTTCTTTCTGTACTGTGGGCAATACTTTGAATATAATATGCTGTCTCACATGCAATCGGGAACATTCGAAAGCATAAGTAGCCCACTTTTCCTGAATGTGGGTTGCAGGAGTTCATGCAAGGCGAAGGTGAAAGGTGAGTAGTTCTGGTCCAAGCAACACGAGCACTTCTTAAATGGGTCTCTTTTGTTCTGATTCTCTTTGCTTTTTCTTCACCAATTGACACAGAAAGAGTCCAAGTGACTTGTTTCTCTCCAATATGTCACCTCTTTCACAAGGTTCCCTTTTCTCCTTTTCAATAGTTTATGTATCAAAATCCCATCACAAATCTCAACATGTTAGTGTTTTAAGTGGCTGTGGTGATCTCTCCAAATTGGGGAATAAGAATTTTTTCTGTTCGACTCATATCTTGTGATTCTCTTTTGTTTGGGGCCTGAAGTCATTCAGCCCTAAGAGTTCCATAAACTAGCAATGCCCAATGAACTGCACGTCGCTAACTTGATTAGGGGAAAATTTTTTAGATCTTTCCGCAATGCATATGATGGTAGGACGAGGGCCGGCTAACTATCCTGCAGCTAGGTTCCACCGTTGCACCCTTGTGTGGTTTGAATTTTTTTATTTTTTATTTTTCGAATGGTACTAGAATATCAACTCATAGAAGTCTAACGAGACTTAAACTTCACCTCCTCGTGCTACCGCTAGTTCAACTAGAAGCAAATGCCGCCGACAAATGTAATCCAAGAAGTTGAAATGGACTTCATGCGACTCTTAACCTGCTACAACCTGCGAATTATCGCGCCCCAACTAATCCATGGAACAAGATGTCCTTACTAAACCTTGTCAAGTCGGAACAAGCTACACTGTCCAATACTCCTCTCGTCTTCCGTTGAAGGCCACTCACAGTCAGAATTTGAGAGTACCCGTCTGGTTCTATCTGGGTATTTCGATTTATTTTGATCGGCTCTACAGGAATGCCAAAATGAGAAACGAAAAGGGGGAATGCTGTAGCATTTGTAGATTCTCGAGGTTGGTCCTAAAGAAGGGGCCTTTTCTAGAGCTTATTGATTTGAGTTGGTCCGCCCAAGACAGTCTTTACCTGCAATGCCAATGACCGAATTTGCGGAAAGAGGAAAACGATGGGAAGTGTCACAAAGCTATAAAAATAAACAGAGAGTCGATCTGAGTCGGTTGTCGCATCCCCATCCTTGAACGCCCTCTTTCGAAGTCCGAATGCTGATGGAGTTCAAACTTGGTGCGCTCGTTGGGTTAAAAGGTGAGGATGACAAGTCATGTTCGCATGTTGATAGTCATGGTTTTTTTTCTTTGGGTCAGAATGTTGATAATTCACGTGCTCATGTTAATAGGTCGGGAAAAGTACCGAAAAAGTCTTAAACCTATTGCATTGGTACCAATTTAGTCATAAACTTTTCAATTGGACCAATTGAGCCATAAACATTTTGACGATTTGCCAATGTAGTCCATCCGACCAATTTTGCCAAAAATTTTGTTGACATGTATAACGGGCATCCTATAAGACATGACTGGCGCTAGACATGGCCATGGGCCGATTTTGGCCCGGAACCGGCCCGGGTCAAACCCGGGACCGGCCCTTTGACCGGGCCCGCGGTTCGGAACCGGAACCGGCCCGTGGCCTACGGGCCCGGTTCCGGTTCCAATAATTTTGGAACCGGCGGTTCCGGGCCCGGTTCCAAAAAAAAAAAAAAACTGCTGGTACATTGATATATATATATATCTCTCTCTCTCACGCGCTCTGCATCTTCTTCTTCTCCTCCGCCCGCCCCCTGTCTTCCCAGATCTGACCCCCGCCGCCGTCGCCCCAGCCCATGGCCGCAACCGCCGATGCTGACGCCCCCTCCTCCTTCCCCCTAGCTACCCTGCACCTCTTCCCCTTTTCTCCTCCGCCGGATCCGCCCACCCCCCGTCTCCCCAGATCTGACCCCCGCCGCCGCCGCCCATTGCCGCAGCTACCGACGCCGACACCCCCTCCTCCTCCCCTCCTCCCGACCCCGGAGGAGGAGGACCCCCCGCTCCTCGTCCCTGTCCCCGTCCCCGTCCCCCTCCCGGCCCCTTCCTACTCCCCCTCGTCGCCGCCCCCGTCTCCCACTTCATCTCCTCGTCGCCTTGAACCCCACCTCCGCCACCGTGGCTAAGGCCGTGAAGCCCGAGCGATGACCGACGGAGGACCAGGCCTGCAATTTTTATTTTATAATTTATTTTATTAATTTTTAAATTACGAACCGGAACCGGCCGGAACAGGAACCGGAACCGGAACTGGCCCGGAACCGCCCCCTTGCGGTTCCGGTTCATACATGGCCGTGAACCGAAACCGGCGGTTCCTGAACCGTGGCCATGACTAACTAGCGCTGACGTGGACAAATGTTGCAATTTTTTAATTTTTTTCTAGGGTTAATACCATGAAAAACCCCAAACTGATACACCTGTGACAAATTTACCCTCTATTAGTTTCCGTTAAATTTTACTGTCAAATTGCTGAGTGAAATAACACGTGACAGTTGACGAATGTACTAGTTTGGGGTTTCACCATTCGTTTGTCATAGGTGTACTAGTTTGTGATTTTTTTTGTATTAATCCAATTTAACAATGGGTAAATTTGTCGCAAAGTATCAGTTTTGGGTTTTTTGTGGTCAAAAAATTAGTTTTTGGTAAATTTGTCATATGTGTATCAATTTGGGGTTTTTGGTGGTCAAAAAATTAATTTGAGGTAAATTTATTGTAAGTGTACCAGTTTGGGATTTTTTGTGGTATTAACCATTTTTTTCTATTCTTTTCTTTTATTTTATCTTTCCTTTTACAACTCTGGCTGGCAAGGGCATCGAGCCCTTGCCCAGACCAAGCGAGGGCGTCACAGCCCTTGCCGGCAAGGGTCGCTGGCCCTCGCTAGTGACCAGTGATGGTCGGTTGACGACCTCGCCGGCCCAAGAGTTGAGAAAAAAAGGGAAGGAAAGAAAAGAAAAAGGAAAAAACAAAAAAAGTTTAAAAAAAAAAATCAGAAAAAAGTTCTTAAAAATTACTAATGTCAGCGCCGGCTATGCCACATAGAACGGCCGACGTCCATATTAACAATTTCCGACCAATTTTGGCCGGACAGATTACATTGGCAAATCGCCAAAAGATTGAGGATTAAATTGATCAACTTAAAAGGTTTATAAATGAATCGATATCAATTCAATAGGTTTGATACTTTTTTTGTACTATTTCCTTAATAAATCACATTTCCAGTTTGTTCATCCGAGGCTTAGTTCAAGTTTTTTCGTCTTATAACTTCAAACACATTGGTCTAGATAACCTACAAATGCAAAGGGAGACACAACATGAAGATCTTCACGGCAAAATCCCTTCTCCCCCTCAAATCTCTCTGAGGGAAGCCGTGCACAATTCCTGCCTCAGAGCCTTTCTCCGATTGATTCGACGAAGTACTTATAGTTGCTCTTCGTAAGACGCCCCGCCCACGTCTAGCTGACGTTCGCACGTAGTAGGACGTGTGACCGAGTCTCGTCACCAGATTTTGCTTTCGACCAAAAAAAAAACCTGAGCCTTGGCTCTCTACGAACCAAAATTATTCAGAAGCCCCTTCTTTAAGATAGAGGGCTAGTTTAGAGCAGAAAATATAACGAAAAAGTAACTCCAAAAACTCCAATTCTTTCTTCCAGTATCAGATTTAGAGTCGGATCAAGAACCAAGACTTTCGTCAATCCAGAAATAGGCCCCCAAACTTTCAAAGAAACCACTTAAAATAGAAATGAGCCACAATCAAATCTGCCAACATAACTTCCTAAAGAAAGGAATAGCTCGTAATAGGAAAATCAGATTTTGGTACACAACCTGAGAAGTTTTCCATAAGCCATTAAAGGCTGATGCCAAATAATGCAAAATGAGAAACTATAATTACAAGGCGGCAAAACCAAGAGAGGCATCGTATCTAATAGGGCTTTCCCAGTATATAATCACTTCCAGAAATTAGGGACAAACACATGCATACATATTTGGTTGGCCGGATAAGCTCTTTTACATTCTTCACTGCACGTAAATTGGTAGCGAATAGTACCACAATTCACATTACAGATCATACGGGTTCATCGTGAGCAGCTACAGGGGTTACTGGTGCTATTGTGAACTGCAGTCCCCCGTGTTGACCGGATTGGAGTACAAAAGCAACTTGCCTTGCTGCCAATGCTGCCGCCTCCTGCTTCACAACAGAATACAACAATGCACTATAAAAAACTAGCTCAACACGAACTAGTTGCATCTTTGGACATTGCCAAGTTTTACTACAGTCTGCCATGTCTACCCCGCAATAACCATCATTTTAAGTATTTACTGGATCATTTTTTCTGTTTAACTATACACCCAGGTGACAACGTATTTATTAGTTAAGGAGAGGTAAATCCTAGAGAAAATACCAACAAAACAAGAGGATAAAGAAGAGACTTGCCTGTCTCTGCCTGCGGCGCTGCAAGATACTGATAGCCCAAGCCATTATGTAGCAGGGCAAAAGAAACCCAGCAGCCCGGAGCAAGAAGAGCTGAAAAGGATGAATTGGTTGAACCAGAAATCAAATTGTGGCTATAACCACAAGATATTCAAGAAGGTATAAGAGTGTTTAAGATTAGCTTACGGAGAAATAAGTAGATGCATCGTCATCTCCACCATCATCATCAGGAATGGTCAATGCATGCCGCAGAAGCAGAAGGGCCATTAACTGCCAAGAACCACAGAGTCACAAAATTATGACAGATTTTTGAGTAAGCACAATAATAAGGCTTATGTTCTTCCCAAAATATCAGTAATACAGTTGTACAGGACAAAAAACTGAAGAGGCAAAAATATAGACTACATGGTTCAAAAATTTAAGTTCTTACAATTAAAGCAGCTGAGCGACAGAATGCAGCTCCACTGGCATTTGAGGCAGCATACTCATCATAATCAGCTTCCAAAAAGTGACGCTCTGCCTCTGCAAGTGCTAGGAGACGAGGATCTCGCAGGTCCAGTGGAGTTCCAGATATTGTCCAGCTTTGACTGAAAAGAACAGATAGTCAAATAAAAAGAGGACTGGCAGAAGTGAAAGAAGTAAATTTCTAAGAGAATGGTCTGCATTAGCTTAAAAAAATCCTTCGTTGCGCTAAATAATTTCATTTTTTAAGTTTTGAAGATAAACATTTTGTTTGTTGCTTTTTCACAAGTTTAAAGAATAGGAATCTAGCTCCAATTGCGTTTGCGAAGAAAAATACAAAATAACTCTAGCTTACCCAATATCGATTGTGGTGTCTTCAGGTGGACGAGGTGGGGCAGTATAATTAGGCTGAAATTGCTGTTTAACAGATATAAAAAAGGGATTATGTTCCATCTATGATGACATTGACAGACAAAAGCAAAACTTGAGCAGTTTTTATCTTATCTCTAGGTTGGGATAATAAATATTATTAACAAGTTCTTTGAACACAGAAAATCATGGGACGGCAGGTGAATCTGTTCTATCCGATCTTCCTGAATAACAAGATGACAGCTTACACTGCCCAATTTGTAGAAATAAAACCTTCCAGTTGAATGCACCACAAACTGATGTATGACGTCCTTTGGTGGGACATTAGCTGTGCAGATAATAGCATAAATTTCGCAAAATTCATAGCAAGACAAAAAGCAGTGTGGACCAGATGCGTACCTGATGACAAATCTCACATGTTATGTCGCCTTTCTCATTGCACCAGTGCTGGACACACTTCCTATGAGCATACTGGAAAGCACATACACTGTTACTAAAAAATATTACACGACACAAATGACTTTACATAAGTGAAATCACATCCTTTAATAATAAAAATAATGTTTGAGATCCAGCACAATTTGCAAAAGATGTTTTTCTTTCGACATTCCAAACCTCCCTATTCCCATCGACATGAATAGAATGAGAACATCGCAAGGTGGTTTTCAGCTCATAACTTTTGCTTTTAAAAATTAACTGACAGAATTTGAGAACTATGCAGGATTGCAATAGGAAGCTATTTTTCATTCTCAAAAATGAGAATGAGTACAGAGAAAAAGAAGATGAAAAACTTGTGCAAACCAAACACAGCCCAACACAGCCCAAGCTTTCCACATCAGCTGATCACCTCCAACTTTCCCTGCTCAAATCAAGGCGGAAAATTGAGACAACCCCATTCCCTTTGAGGGCCAAAAAATGCTGCAATCCTTTTCGTTTCAGTTTTTAAAAAGCGATAGGAAACGGCGGAGAAAAACTCCACAAACTCGCAAGTGAACCGTAGAGAGAGCAAAGAGAAAAGCAGCACGATGCACGCCTCCCGCGGAATGACGGAAAACCAACAACATACACGCCTCCCAAACAAAGAGACCTCCGGAACAACAACAACAACGAGCAATCGTAAACCACCACGAGCAACCGTACCTTGAGGCTGCCGCTGCAGGCGCAGGGGGACTCCAGGTTGCTCACGCCGTCCTCGTCCTGGCAAATGCGACACTCGGCCATCTGAATCAGAGGCTCCTCCTCCTCCTCATTCCCCTCCACCTCCGCCGCCGCCTCGCCGCCGCCCCCGCCGCTCGTCGGCGGCGGCGGCGGCGAGGAGGAGGAGGCAGCCGAAGCCTCGGCCTCGTCCCTCGCCGGCGCCAGCCGCACCAGCCGGTCCACGGACAGCACCACGTGATCGCTCATCTTCCTCCCCCCCCGCCCCAAAAAAAAATAAAATCAAACTACACCGAAAGGAAGAAGAAGAAGAAGAGTGGCAAAAAAAACTGAAAACCTAATTAAAGGAAAACTCTAACCGAGGCCAAAAAGGGAGGCGGATCGAAAACCAGGAGATCGCCGGGGGGAAGAGCAGGCGATCGATCTAGCCTCCGGGATTCCGTACGGTACGAAAACGGAAAAAGGAGGGAGAGAGAGAGAGGATCGGAAGCCCCCTTACCGCGCGGAGATCGGTGGGCGGACGGATGGATGGACGGTGGCGGTGGTTTGCTTCGCTCCGGCCGCAGAAGAAAAAGTAGATTTTTTCTTGCCCCCGAGGAGCAGGTGGTGGTGAATGGGACGCGCTTTTCTTCTTCTTAGAGAGAGAGAGAGAGGTTGAATTGCTGCGGAAATTTAGAGGATGAGAGAGAGAGAGAGACGGAGCTTTTTTGGGAAGGAGACGGAGGGGAGTCCCCTCCGTCAAAAAATTTACAGAAAAGCGTTACGCGTTCGGTGACGTCCGTCCAGCTCCGTCCAACTCCAACGGCTCCAATTGAATTTCGACGCGGGGGGGGGGGGGGAAGGGGGGAAGGGGTGTTTCCGTCCTTTCGCGCTCGCCGTCACCTCGCGTCACGGCGTGCGCGCCTCTGGCGTGTTTTTTTCTTTTTTTTTGTGTTCCTTTGACCGCTTCGCTCTCTCCTGGGGGTCGTTTCTGGCCGCGCTCCCCCGCGTTGGGGTCGCTATCGACACTTCTGTTCTTTCTTCTATTTTTTCCGCTTTTTTTTTACTTTTTCCTTTTTCTTTTTCGGTCTTCCTCCCAACAAACTCGTTCTCGTCGCCGAAAAAGTGAAAAAGGAAAAACAGAGAAATCCAAAATCCAAAATCCAAAATCGTCCGACCTTTTTATCTCGAACTTTTCGGATTTCCACGATCGAATCCTTCCGTCGTCGTCGTATCGTGCTACTACGGCTATCTTCAAATTGTGCGCTTTAAAAAAGCGTTTCACTCCCCTCACCAAGGAGGCCCTCACCCGGCCTTTGCCACACCGATCGCGACTGGGGTAACGAGTAACGATGCTCTTCTTATCATCAAGCCTCTCCATTGTCCTCTATAAGTGTTATGATGTACGTGTGGGTTGTGTTAAGAAAATCCCGCATCGAAAAATTAATATGGTGTAGAGCAATTAATATATCTCAGTTGGCCCATAACTCACTAATTTGTGCTTTTGAGTGAAGGTAGGTTGAATTAGATATGTTAACAGGCTCGGACTTAGGCTCGCCTGCTCGGACTTAATTTCTCTCTTGGCGAGTGGACTTAGGGCCCGTTTGGTAACGTGCCAAATAGTGAAAATTTCTGTTCTTTTGTTCCCAGAAATAGTTTGGGAACAGAAATGCGTTTGGTAAACTGTTTGTTCCTGGGCACATTTTTACAAAAATTTGTGCCGAGAAACAGTTTTGGAAGAGAAACAAGAAGTAAAAAGTTGCTTCTTGTTTCTAAGACAATTTTGAGAATCGCTTTTTTTTTTTTTTTCGTTTCTTATTTTTGTGTTGTTCTTCCCTGGCTGAGCCGGCCGCCGGTCGCCGGCGGCCAGCGACCGACCACGCCCTGTGGCCGGCGAGGCGTCACGGCCCTCGCCGGCGAGGGCGAGGGCCGGACCTCACCGCCCGGGCGAGGCGGCCTCGCCCAGATCGAGCGAGGCCGAGCCTCGCCGTGGTCGCGACGGCGAGGTCGGCCTCGCCCGGATCCGGCGAGGCCGAGCCTCGCCGTCGCGACCCACGGCGGCCGACCTCGCCAGTGGGTCGCGACGGCGAGGCCGAGCCTCGCCGTCTCGGGAGAGGCCGCCTCGCCCAGGCGGCGAGGGCCGTGACGCCCTCGCCGGCCCTGGGCTGTGGCCGGTCGCCGGCGACCGGCCATGGCCAAAGAAGAAAATGGGTAAAAAAAAAATTTAAACAATTCAAAATATTATTAAAATATTATTTGGGAACAGAAATTTTGTGTAGTTACTAAACGCATTCTCTTCTTTTCTATTATAGGAATAGAAATTTTGGACAGCTTTATCAAACGCCTTCAAATACTCAGAAATTGTTTCCGGGCACAGAATCAAAAAAAAATCATTTCTGTTCAGAAATAGCTCCCGGGCACAGAATGGTATTCATGCGCACCCTTAGCCTCCCTTTTGGCGATCTCCTGCGCACTCCCAGTGAAGCTGCGAATAATAACCATTCTGTTTCTCTATTTCTATTCCAGAAATAGGTTTTTGAACAAAAATTCGTTTGGTAACGCAACTTCATTTTCTATTTCTAAATCAAATTTTTGTTCCAAAAATAGGTTGGAACAGAAATCAGAAGTTTACAATTTTGTATTTTTCTATTTCTGGAACAGAAATGAGAAGTTAAAATTCTTCTCATCGCTCGCCCTCGCTACTAGTCGGTCGCCCACCTGCCGCCCATCGCCGCCTTCTGCCATTCGCCGTCTCCCACCATCGGCCGCCCTCCTTCCGCCGCCGGCCGCCCTCCTCCCGCCACTGCCTGCCACTAGCCACCATCTCTTGCCGCCCCCGCCGCTGGCCATTGTCTTTTGCCACCGTCCACCTCCCGCCGCCGGCCACCGTCTCCCACCACCGATCGCCCTCCTCCCGCCACCGGCCATCGTCTCTCGTCGCCGGCCTCCTTCCTCCCGTCGCCTCCCACCATTTGCCGTCTCGCGCCCTCCTCCCACCGCCATCCACCGGCCACCGTCTCCCGCCGCTAGCCGCCCTCCTCCTGTTGCCCGTTGTCCTCCGCACTGGCCGCGTCGCCGTGCTCCATCGCCTCCCCTCACTGTCCGCCACCCGCTGTTCGCCACCACTGTCCGCCGCAACCATCTATCTACCGTCCACTTATCGGCCACTCGAGAGGGAGAAATTTTGTGCCTTTGTCGAACTTATTTTTATTTCAAGAACATAAAATTTTGTATAATTATCATACGTGCTTTTTTGCTCAGAAACTCGTCCAGAAACAGAAATAGAAAAATCAATTTATGGCCAGAAATTGATTTCTGAAATAGAATGGTTATCATTCGCAGCCTAAATCTGTCATGCTCCCCCGTATTGTGCCCCCGGCGGTGATGTACGAGGTTTTGCCAGGCCCCCGCCGTTACTTCAATGCTCCGTTCTTTCCTCCTCCTTCCTGATCTTTTGATGCGGGGTTGCATCCATGTCTGTGTGTGCAAGCAGTCGTTTCCTTTTACCGCGTCGCTAATAGTAGGTATAGCAGGGGATTCAATACCAATAAAGGGGTCTAATTCCCTTTAAAAAAAAAACAATATTTTGCAACGACCCTCTTGCCAGCTCCCTGCATCTTGTGTAGTTTCCTACTCCCCCACGTTCAACGAGAGTCCAATGGCGACCGTCAAGTCAACCACTTCCATCGCTGATGTACCAGGTCTGTCGAGCCCCTACAGTTGCAGATGGTCGGACGACATGGCAACTTCGCTTCTCTGCTCTTTCCTCCTCCTTCGTATTGAAAACTCTAGCCAACTCGACGATCTCATCAGAGGCTTTGTACTTCTTCACTGTTCATATGCCTGATTTGTTTCTTGACAATGTATCTTCTAGGATTTTAATTCGGAATAAAACTGCTTGGGAATGCGATTTCCCGGGTACTTTATTGTAACTTTAAAGAGTCTTGTGACTTTCTTGTTGGGATCACCAGACTAATTTATGAGAATAACCAACTGCAATTTTCCTTATGTAATGGTCAGTTGCTTTAACTTGTTTTTTCTTTCGCTTTATTTGTTAATCCATGGCTAATTTGGTTCGAAGTTTTAATGGGGTTGATACCATTTCTCGCCATCAATGACAATGAGGCACACGACGTCAAGTGGGAATATGATGAAGATGGTGCTAGGAATCGTGAAGGAAAGCACTGTAGTGAGAGGAGGAGGACAGAAGAGTTGAAGCAATCTCTTAACTTAAGGTTCAAGGTCACTTTTATCACTTAAAAAGAGGAAAAAAACCCGTGCCTGAAGCCAAAGAAAAGAGTAAGAAAAAATCATAAACTTATTGCAATGATGTCGATTTAGTCATAAACTTTCTAATTTTGTCAATCCAGTCATAAACATTTTGATCTAGTGCCAATTCTATCATTCCGGCTCATTTTGATAGGATATTGCTGACGTGGATGCCGGCTGACCTACGTGATATTACTGACGCTGACATGAGCAATTTTCAATAATTTTTTTTTATTTTTTTCCTTTCTTCTTCCTTTCTTCTTCCTTTTGCCGTGACTGGCTACCGACCATGGCCGGGTTAGCTGGCGTCGCCCAGGTGAAGGTTGCCGTCGCTAGCCACAGGCGAGGCTTGCCCAGGTGAGGGCCAGCCTTGAGGAGGGGAGCCCTTGTCGGGGCTTGGCCTTGCTTAAGCCATATTTGGCGAGGTCGACCTCGCCGGGCGTCGCCTTCGCCCGGTCGAGGCTCACCCTTGCCCGTGGCAAGTGACAACGACCCTCGTCTATGACCAGTGGCCGATCATTGGCAAAAGGAATAAGAAAGGAAAAAAAAAAATTAATAATAATAAAAAAGTACAAAATATTAAAAGATAAAAAATCCGTGCCCGAAGTTAAATGAGCCACGAAAATAGCTTTTTCTTAATATAATCCATTCCGATTCCACACAATTTCGTTAAAAGAGAGATCAACGACTAAATGGAATAACAAGATCTGAAGTTATCGTTTTCTAATCCTTATATAAGTTCTACATCAGGACTTCCAATATAGTTTTGCTCTTCTTATTCAAGCTTTTAGCGAATAAAAAAATCACCACATAACATATGCCATAAATATCCCGTTGCCATCTAAATTTTCCCTCGAAAATTTTTACATTCATTTCATAGGAAAACTAGGATCGAACTCATAGATATTGATAGAATTTGAATCCTTAGTCCCGCGTACGCATTTCTTACTACATTTAGATATTGTACATTTAAATCTAGGAATAGCATGTTCGCACCAAATGAAACGTAGGTCCTGCTACGAATTTCATCTAGATTAATCCGATAGACGGCCTGACACGAGACAGCTAGAATTCATAGGCCTGGCCTCTATGGAAATGTCTGCTATTCTTTCCTTTCCCTTTACATCGGCCAAAGATTGCAAGTCATCCGAATATAATTTCGGTTGCAGCTCCGACATTGTGGGATCGGACACAGCTCCAAGATTGTGGGAGTTTCAAATTAGATAAGAAAATATATATGCGCAATCAAATAAAGTACGATCAATTAAAGTAAGCGCAATCAAGGATACGTAGAATTTTCCAGATATACACACGATCACAAAATATATAGAAAATATCCCGATTATATCTAACAACATTGTTGGAAGTGGACCGGACTCCAAGATTGCCAAATTGGGACAAAATAGATTACAATTCCAAGGATTCAGGAAGTTTGACCGAAATTTTGATGGGTCCTGGGGGTTGGTCATAATCCAAAGTTTGAGGATAAAATGGCGGAGTTTGAGGTCTATCTTCGGTTGAATCTCAAGATGGGAGTTTTTGACCACGGTAGAAGAGGATCAATTCGGATGTTTTCTGACACGGCAAGGATCAATTCGGACGTTTTTGACCACGGCAATTGAAGGCGGGGGATCATCTAACCAAGAATTTTTAGAGAGAATCCGCGAAGAGCTCGAGATAGGAAGGGAAAACAACCGAGCTGGGGACAAGAAGAGAGAAACAGAGTTGTAAAGAACATGGAAATGTGGAAAATTGTCTAAAATGTCTCGAACCTATTGTATGGCGGCTAATTTAATCCTTAGCCTTTACATTTTTGCTAATTCAGTCCCAAACCTTATGACAACTTACCAATACAATTTTAAAACCTTTTAATTGTGTCGATTTAGTCCTAAACCTTTTGACGATTTGTTATATAGTCTTAAACATTTCAACGATTGCCAATGTAGTCATTCTGATCAATTTTTGCTGGAAACCGCTGACGTGGGAATTCGTTAAAAGGTTCGGGACCATATTGGCGAATTTTCAAAATCCTAATAAATAAAATGATTACGACCACCGTTGTAATAAGAGGGTCCACACGTCCACTTTTAGACGAGCGACACGTGTGTTTGGAATTAGTTTCACAATTAGAATTTTCCCGACACTTAACGGTGAATTTTCAAAATCCTAATAAATAAAATGATTACGACCATCGTTGTAATAAGAGAGTCCACACATCCACTTTTAGACGAGCGACACGTGTGCTTGGAATTAGTTTCGCAATTAGAATTTTCCCGATATTTAACGGTGAATGTGTGAGTTATTTATGGTAAATCTAATAAAAAAAATCATTATTATCCGGTGCTCTTGCAGATAGAGGAAACCTAAAACAGCTAATCCGACCAGATTAGGAGCTCAAATCTCCAACCAAGATTACCATAACAATTTCGGTGAGGATAGGGAAAATTACCATACTGCCCTTACCTCGTTCCTCTAGATATAAAACCCTAATACAGAACTTCACTTCTTCCTCACCCCGCGCACCAAGTCCCAGCAGCCTCCTCTGTTTTTCCCAGGTAATCATCTCGCTGCAAGCGCAGGTTGCTTTCTTGATGTTTCTCCTCTTTCTGGGATTTCTCGATCTTGCTCTGTATATCCAGAAGTCAGTGATGCGAGTCTTGTTCGGCGGTAAAGGTCGTTGCTTTATCGAGTATATGAATCGATTGATGGCCGACTGATGCGCATTCAGGAGAGACGATATCTGATTGCCGGCTTTGTCTGCATGGATTGGATTTGAAAAAGGGCATCTTTCTTCTGCTTGATTGATGGTGCTATTGTTCTCGAAGGGATTGGGTCGGCAGAGTCGATTTGTGTGGCATGGCAATTGTTATTGGGAGAGAGAAATCTGTGTTGATGATTCGGTCCCACTTGTTTATACGATTTGGGCATTGGAGTGGTGAATTTAAAGAAGTAGCTTGTTCACGTTCAGGGCTAGCGGCTTATGATCTTCTCTTGTTGCCTCTGCAGATTGTATAAAGAATCACTACTTCCCTGGAAAAGCAATGGCGGTTGCGTTCTATGACCTTGGCTCGGCATCGGGGCTGAAGAAGCTCGATGAATACCTCCTCACGCGTAGCTACATAACTGGGTTGGTGTCCGATCTTCCCTGTCTTATTTTCGCATAAGAAAACGATGGATGAGTTCGAGTGCAGATGTTTATCCTCTGTCTTTGCTATGTTAGGTACCAAGCTTCAAAGGACGACATCACCGTGCATGCAGCGCTTCCAAAGCCCCCGTCGTCTGAATTTGTCAATGTATCTAGGTGGTATAACCACATTGAGGCTCTGTTGAGGATTTCGTAAGTTCTTGTGACAACCTAAGTGTTTTATTCATCTTGGCTTCAGCACTCAAGGCATACGATTGAGCATCTACTTGTTAGTAACGAGTTGGCTTTTTTTTTTTCCTTCCTTTCTAAAGTTAACACTTTACCCATGTCAGTGGTGTTGATGCGGAAGGGTGTGGTGTTATTGTTGAGGGTTTTGCTCCAATCACTGAGGAGGCACTGGCAACTCCCCCTGTTGCCGACACAAAGGCAAGCTTCTCTTTTTTGTTTTTTTTTTAGGGGGGTGGTTTGATAGATTTTTTATTACTGTTTTTGTGCTTCTGTTGAAAGATTTACTTTTAAAACAGAAGTTCGATGGGGTTATGTTCTTTAAACCGTGATTGTGAAACTCAAACACAGAACATTACCATAATATAAACTTTGCTTATCGCAGGCTGCAGCTGCAGAGGATGATGATGATGATGTAGATTTGTTTGGTGAAGAGACTGAAGAGGAGAAGAAGGCTGCTGAGGAACGTGCAGCTGCCGTCAAGGCATCTGGAAAGAAGAAAGAATGTGAGTTTTTTATATACACATGGGAGATAATGATTCAAAGCTCAGTGTTTGTTCGTAGTTCCCTCTCTCATAATTTATTTCCTTTGACATCTAGATTGGTCAAGTTGCTATGGCATTGTAGAATATCAGGAAAAAACCTGTTTTTGATGTTAAGTTACGGTAGAAAATCATGTTATGCGGGAAATACTTCCGATTGTCTGGATGGAGGCTGTCCAAAGCTTATTCATCGTCTATTTTTGACGGAAGCACTAAGGACTGTTCACTTAATCTACTATGCTTTAGAAAATTGAGTCAATGACAATAAAGAGAGATCTTAATGTTCAATACTTATTTTCAGCTGGCAAGTCGTCTGTGCTGTTGGATGTGAAGCCATGGGATGATGAGACTGACATGAAATTGCTTGAGGAAGCAGTAAGAAGCGTCCAAATGGAAGGGTTGCTTTGGGGAGCATGTACGTTCTGTTCCCTTTGTTTGTCTCGGCTTTAATTAATTGCACTAGGTCTTAGCTTTCCTTTTGCCCATTATAGCACGAGTTTTTCTTGCATGGTTATGAAACATCATTTACAATTTTGGTATGTCCTTGTTACTTTCAAATGCACAGGTATTTTAGGGATGTGAAAAAAATATGTTTTCCTCTTATTATTGAATGTTTGGTTCTGCTACCTTGAAGAACCTGCTAGATGAGAAGTCTCTCTGATATAAATATTTAATGTCACACAGCCAAGCTCGTACCTGTGGGCTATGGAATAAAGAAATTGCAAATTATGATGACCATTGTGGATGATTTGGTTTCGGTCGATACTCTCATTGAGGACCATCTTACGGTTGAACCGGTGAACGAATATGTCCAGAGCTGCGACATTGTTGCTTTCAACAAAATATGTAAGAACATTCTCTGGCCGATTATTTGCTATTCTCATCCGTTATACATCATTTTGGAGCTGAGAGGCGCTTACATCTTCTGTAGTATATTTCTGCTTTGGCGCATCTGACTAAATGTTCTTTTGTTTCATTTGTTGCAGAACTCACGTGATGTATCGAGGTTGTGCCGGAGTGGCTTCTCATTGACTTTGAAGCTTGATATTTGGTGTCCTATCTCCCTGAGTTATGTGCGGAACTAGATGCAAGAGACGTATCTCTATCTTCATGGATTTGAAATCCGTATTTTTATTTGGTTAATGTCGGAATGTTACAATTTTCGTCTCGATCTTTTATTCTTTCGACGTTGCGTGCGATGAGGATCAATACAGTATTTGCTGTGGAAATAAAATTTTGATCGAATCTCTGAGGCTACATGATGGGTTTGCTTCCTTTTTCCTTTCCGGAACTTACCTGTACATATTGAACCCGGGATCTGCTGCAGGATTGTGCTCCTTGAGGTAGATTGATATCATATGCTTCAAGTTGATGGAGACTTGCATATACATCAAAATACCTTCATGCATCAAGACAATCATTTATTCTTATAGTAACTTCCCATCTCAAATTTTGATTCTCAGAAAGATGGCTGGTTTTACTTCTATATCAGTGCGGTGACTGCAGTTGTTTCTCTGGATTCTGTGTCTGAACTTTTTTGTTGTGAGGAGAAGAAGAACAAATGAAACAACCGTCTATACTGATTGAAACTACTCCAAGTAGAGACGGAGTCTGCAAGAAAGTAGTGTCGTCCAGTTTTATTTGGACTGATGGCATCCGGATTCACCATTTGATATGCTTGATTTTCCGTCATTCGTTGCCGGAGTTGATTTGGCGCCAATTGAAAAAATCAATCCAGCTTTTCCTTATAAATTTCTTGTTCCCCCCTTCACTCTTTACCTTCACATATCCATTCCCATACCCTCAATTCGCATAGAGAGTGAGAGATCGCGAGTGTGAACGACCAAATATTCAAGATTCGTGCCACTGAGATAAAGAACAAGCCCCACTTCAAGAACGATCCTGAGAGTCAATGTCTTGTTCATCAGGTCCATAGTCCTCGTGTGATGGAGTTCGGGGACAATGAACCTGATGAAACAAGACATTAATTCTCGTGTGATGAACAAGGATCGATCGTCCTCATATGATGCCTGAAGCCAAACGGACAAGATGCACTCAATAAGGTGGAGTAGAAGAGAAGGGGAGTTAGTTAGCAGTTGGAGTTAGCTTTTCTTTCTTTTCACTCTACTGTTTCTTGTTTTCTCAATCTCTTTTCTACTTTAAGAACATGTATATATTTGATCATATGAGACAATTTCTACCAGTACCAGGTACGATAACTAGCTTTTTTTGAACACTTCTATTGACATTTTCCACGTACCAAGACTGACTATTCTTCTTCAATCTTTAGCACATTGTGTACATGTACAAGTCTTTTTTGCTAGTTATACCACAAGGAATTCAACCATTGTTTTTCAGCCTAAGAGAAAAAAAATATAATTTGACTGACTTTCTTCATAGTCGAATTTCATCATTGATTGGTCCGGTTTCTTGTTACGTGGATGATGTGGTAAATAAGAATTCATTTTGGTAGAAAGTTTGTATGAGACCATGTGTTCTTCGTGGATCCTAATCCTAATATGACTTCTAAAATTTCTCGATTGTAATTGCATTGATTTAATATACTAAGTAAAGACGAAGACAAAGTCATAAAACTTTTCTTATTCTCGTGAAACTCATTTTGGGTTTTGTAATACTTGGCAACTTAGGGTGCGCATGAATACCATTCTGTGCCCGGGAACTATTTCTGAACAGAAATGATTTTTTTTTATTCTGTGCCCAGAAACAATTTCTGAGCATTTGAAGGCGTTTGATAAACTGTCCAAAATTTCTATTCCTAGAGTAGAAAAGAATAGAAATGCGTTTGGTAACTACACAAAATTTCTTTTATTAATAATATTTTAATAATATTTTGAATTGTTTAATTTTTTTTTTCTTTCTACCCATTTTCTTCTTTGGCCATGGCCGATTGCGGCGATCGGCCACGGCCCGAGGCCGGCGAGGGCGTCACGGCCCTCGCCGCCGCCGGCGGAGCGAGGGTCCCCCTTGCCGCGAGGGCGAGCGAGGCGGACCCTCGCCGCGGGCGAGCGGCTGCCGTCGGTCATGGCGAGTTCGGCCTCGCCCGGATCGGGCGAGGCCAAACTCGCCATGACCGACGGCGAGCCGCCTCGCCCAGGCGGCGAGGGTCCAGCCCTCGCCCTCGCCCTCGCCGGCAAGGGGGACCCTCGCCTCCGCCGGCCCTGGGCTGTGGCTGGTCGCCGGCGACCGGCCACAACCCAGGAAAGAGCAACACAAAGAAGAAAAGAAAAAGAAGAAAAAAAACCGATTCTCAAAATTGTGCCAAGAAACAAGAAGCAACTTTTTTTTACTTATTGTTTCTCTTCCAAAACTGTTTCTGGGCACAAATTTTTGCAAAAATGTGCCCGGGAATAAAAAGTTTACCAAACGCATTTCTATTCCCAAACCATTTTTGGGAATAAAAGAACAGAAATTTTCACTGTTTGGCATGTTACCAAACGGCCCTTAGTCTTTTATATTTTGGTACTCGATGTCACTCTTTTAGAAATCCTTTTGACAAGGTTTGCCTACTCATGGAGAGGAATTGTCTGATGTCTTTCTATCACATCCGTGGTGTCTCAGCCCCTACATATCTGTGATGTCTTTGCATCTATCTGTGTGATGTGTGATGCGGTGCGACGGTGCTATTGCCTAATCACCGGCGAGGTCATCCTCATCGATGTTCAAGTCTTTTGTTTTTATCGGGAAAATTACCAAAAAAAATACTAAATCTATTGAACTTTTGTGCTATTGCCATGGCGACCACTGCTGTGCTGCCACTCCCCCCCTTAATCCGATAATAGGCTAGTATATATATGGATACATGTACGTGATTGGAAAATAATTGGAAACAAGGCGTTAATATACTGTCTTTAAGAAATTGTTTGCTCCACAAAGTTGCTAATGATTATTGGCAAAAATCATTTGGAATACAATAAAGTCTCTAAATGAGAATACCATATCTAGTATTTCTCTAAGAACTATCAAAAGGAAACAATTGGAGAATAAATGCTGTTTTTATAGGGAAGAAACGAAAATTGAAAATGGAAGATATTGAACCTGAAACGTCAAATTTATAATAGAGAAAAACAATTGCCATCGATTAGTGCCAATTCTGGCCCACGGGAATTCCAAGTGCTAAGTACACCAAAAATTGGGTAATTTCACGCACTCGCACACGAGAATCGTAGAGTCCAGCCCACTTAGCTCGTGATTAGAAGACTTCCACACTTATAAATTGGTCCAGACACTCATAGCTTTTTTATGTGAGACAATGTATCTTTGTCAAATAAACTATCAACCAGTATGCACAGAGGATGTGGAATCAAGTTCGCGACATTCGCGATTCTCCGGTCACAAGACTGACCGTGCAGAGCACCCACCTTCGAAAACAATGCAAGCTCGAAACCATGGAAAAGATGAAAGAAGGGGGTCAAGCACGACGTGCTTTACAAAAAGAAGAACAACGACGACGAAGTCGTTCACGGAACCCTGATCAACTCTATGGACCCATAGAAAACAAAGGGAAGTAACGTTGACCAAAAGAGCAGATGGGATGAGAGTCTAAGCCGAGTTGCCAAGGTCCTGCTACTGCTCATGACCATACATACATACATACATACATACCCCGAGTGTCTCGAATGAACGAGCTCGTTTATCACCCGTGAAACAACTCACACATCAATGATTTCAGTGCTGCACAGCTCCTTGAGAAACAGGAAGTCATGAACTTTTGCCTTTTCCTTGGTTCTTCTCGGTCTCAAGATCCCATCCCAACGATCCTGGAAACAGGGCGAGTGAGTGAGTGAATGGAGCCCGAGTTTCAGTTTCGCCTGGACTGGAGATTCGTCAGTGCTCGCAGCATTCCAATGCCCGCATAAACTCTCTCTTCTCGTCAAGTTTAATATTTCCTCTTTTGAAATTGAGTGGAGAAAGTTGGTAATAAATGACTTTGGCATATGTGATCAGAAAGCTCTCGTAGCTCAGTTGGTTAGAGCACCCGCTTAGTAAGCGGGAGGTCTTGAGTTCGACTCTCAACGAGAGCACCAACTTGGTCATTACCCCTTTTCTCAAATGGTTTCGGGCTCTTTTTCCACTGTTTTTGTCCTTCCTTTTCCCCCCCTTTTGACGTGAATAACTTTTGTAAACTTTTTTTAAAAAAAATTAAGTTTTTTAATGATTTTTTTTTATTTTTTTCCCTTTTGATTTTCTTTCTTTCTTTCTTTCTTTCTTTCTTCTTCCTCCACGAATCACCCCAAATTCGGAATAATTAAAAAAACAATGTAAAAAATTATCCTCGTTAGCGCCCGTGTCCCACGGCAGCGATTGTCGGCTAAAAATTGAGCATAATGGTTACATTAGCAAATCATTAAAAGGTTTACGACTAAATTAGTTAAATTTAAAGATTTAGGACTGAATTGGTATCGTCCGTACAATACATTTAAAACTTTTTCTTGGTAATTTTCCCAATTGAAAGTTGATGGAATACCCTGCAAATCCTATGAATCAATTAAATTTAAACCTTTGGCTAGTGCAAGTCACCCTGACCCGGGATAATATGTACGCAATTGGTGAACACTGATATTCGTTACAATTTGCTGCTTGCACGGGATTTTACTTCCACAATGGTTTTTGCCTAGGAGCTGACTTATCATCATCATCGTCGTTGTTTTGTCTGAATTGATTAGATGTGTCGTACTTCATCTAGAGACAGAGAGCTTGCCACAATTCCAATATAATTCAGAAGATATGTCTAGAATAACTGAAAGGGAAAGAAGAAGACGAAAGGAGAAAAGATGAGGTCAAATCTTAGTTATATTGGCTAACTTGCGTATCGTCATTTTATCCATCATTTAATAGCGTGGGATTATCGTTCTTATCATAGATGTTTGAGGAGGTCGAAACTGTGTACATTCTTTCTGCATTCAACATGCGCGTTCTCATAGAAGCAAATCAACTTGGATCTTCAATTTATTATTCGATCTCCCAAAAATGATAGTAAAACAAGCAAGCTGACTAGATAGACATTGAAAAAAGGGCACGCAAGTCATTTAGTATCATAAAGTAGCACCATGACCTCAAAACCAACGAATTCTTAACAAAGGAATTTTGACTCGGCTCCGCGTTCAAGCATCATGACGTTATATTCCGGGACTAACAACCAGCTTGACCCAATTGTTATTACTTGTTTGAGGTTTCAATGTGCCCTAACTGCTCGAGTCCGGGTTTTAGGATTCCCATGTCATGGTCCGGATTAGCCGCAAGAAAAAGAGGTGACAATAACTTGGTGTCCTAGCGGACAATGTCAATATACAAGGTCCATAATCTATTAAGCCACGACAAATACGTAATTGTTTGCAAATGTTTCGCGTATTCGAACATTGAGTCACATTGATTTAAAATTATAATCGCGGGGTGGAATGGGGAAGGTGGAATAAGGGCAGGTTTGAGTGGTGTTGGAGTTTGGGTGAGATCGATATAGCGTGTGTCAATCTTGTAAAGGCACAAGAAGAGATTTTTTGCTCGCTCCAGTTGCATGCACTCGGATATACTTGAACAATTGAATTTAGTGAGTCCCGTCGTACTTAAACGTCGATCGATTCGATATAGACGCAACAAGACTCACGCATGCATAACGAATCATTCGTGTTCTTAAACGGTGGGGAAGACTGTGAACTAAGACTTTCAAATCCACTCAAAAAGGTAAAGGAGGAAAAAAAACAAAGGACCAAACGTATTAAAAACGATGGGTTTGAATTTTGGTAATCATGACGATGCTTTGCCCTTGTGCATTTGAATTTGATTATCTTCTGAATTCAGCGGGGAGGGGGGAACCCGAAACAGACGAAAGGTGCTTCCAAGTTCCCCATGTGCACGGTCTTTACAAGCTCAAAAAAGATATAATAATAAAGGAATTTAGGTCGGAGTCAAACGAAGGGGCAAATGCAATGTGACATTAAAATACACAAACTTGGAGATCTGCTCTAGAATCTGTCGATCCAGGGCAATAAGATATTTGGGGAAACAAACTCGTGGGGAAGGCCAGCTGATGATATTCAACTTAATTAAAAGATTAAGAGAAGATCCTCGTATTGGGCGTCTCCTCGTTTCAGAAAGGTCGCCTAATCAACCGTCTCGTGTTTCTCCTCTTCCTTTCTACATGTGGCCTCTCCACCTGCCTCCTTTCCAAATAGCATAGAATATAATACGGGAAAATGACGCAGACGGTCTCTGAACTTTGGTCCAATATGTAACGTAGTTCCTGAATTTTTAATTTGTTCAATATGGTCCATGAACTTTAACCGAATATGCAATGTGGTCCATGAACTCTTAATTTGTTCAATATAGTCCCCAAACTTTAACCGAATGTGCAATGTGATCCCTGAACTCTTAATTTGGTTTCAGGGACTGCATTGAATATTTTTATAGAGTTCAAGGACTACATCGAACATGTACCAAAAGTATATGGACCGCATTGAATAAATTTAAAATTTCAGATACTACATTGAACATTCGGATAAAGTTCATGGATCAAATTGAACAAATTAAAAGTCTAGAGACCACATTACATATGAGTCAAAGTTCAGGGACAATTTGTGTCATTATCCTGTAATAATATCGACGAGTAAATTTGGTCGATTTACTTGCATTGTGCACGATTGCCTGGTGAGTATAGCGGTTACGTCGACACATTGATTTGAGATTTGAGATTACCCATCACAAAATTTAGTTCGGATTGCAACTCGCGACGTCGCCGAATCGACCCGAACAAGAAATGGGGCCTCGCGCCGCTTTTAATATCATGAACAAAGTATGTATTTATTGTATACACCATGATAATCATGTCTGCTTAAAGATCGTGGACAAGTATGTAGGCACCCAGGCTTATCATGATTTGTCCCAAATTTAACGTAACAATTACAGTAGTCGCAATGAATGGGTTCCGTGCCTAAGATCAACAATTACAAGTCCCCCTTTGTTTTTACCAGTAAGGTGGTCGGTGTAGGTGGGCCTAAAAGAGAAAACTAGTTGAAGTGCTAGGATGAGCTAGTTAAACCGTGGATTGTAAGGCAATGTGCTAATTACCAAAGCTTTTTGACGAATTCCATCATGAACCTATGTAGCGATGAATGAATGATTATGTCTCTGTGACATCAAGATTAGACATAATCATCGAAGGAATCTTTTAGTAAACACGACCGGTTTAAAGGAGTGGTGTTTTATCAAGTGCCGTGCGGGCATGGTGATCATTTATTAGTACTTAAGTTACGGGAACTTATAGGGCGTGATTGGACAACCATTGCCGTCATCGTGTCTAGATTATGGACATTTTCTCAACTTCACATTGAATAAATTAAAAATTCGGGAACGACATTATACATTGGCCAAAGTTTAGGAACCATTTGTGCCACTTCCTCCTGTAAAAATGCCGTCTTTGAACCCCTTATTCACTTGTTGGGATAACTTGTACATTTGGCTAAAGTTCATGAATCATATTGCACAAATTAAAAGTTCAAGAGCGACATTACACATTTGATCGAATTTCATCGACCGTTTATACTATTACCCCTTTTTATAACAAGTGAATAAATGTACCCACGACACACGTCTCCAACATGTGTTGGGCGATAATAAGGTATGGCGATGTGTTACTCCTTGCATCCATTAAACACTAGATCAAAATGGGAGAATCGTGTCTTTCTTGAAAATTCCAACCATGCACCCTATGGTTGTCATGACTATCTTGCACTCATGCCACCAAAATTAATGTTTTTTTAATCACGGCGGTATCTATCGTACAAAACAAAATGCGGACTACCAACATGGTGTCTGGCTTAAATGCCGATGGAGTTTACTTCTCTCCCTTTTGATTTTAGATTCAAATCATGTTGGGAGCACATTGGTAGTTAAAAGTCTCAAATCTACTGGATCGATGAGCGGGAGATTGTGCTCTTTAGATTGCCCGGTAAAAAGTTCGCGAAAACCAGTCTGGACACGACCTAATCGCGGAATAAAAATAATTTTAATCCCAAGATTTTCCTTGAAGTCGACTCCAAACCCTCTCGGCCTCCAAGTAGTTCGCCGGTGTCAGCTGGCTCCTGTGTTGACATGCGGCCTAACTCCTGAAAATTGCACTCCAACTGCAAAACGACAGATGTAATCACCAGCTACAACAAACAACATTATTAAACACAACTCCATTGATTATAATAATTAGTGCCGCGTGGTCGTCGAAGGTTTTGGTTTTGTTGTCTGTTAATTGGGTGGATTAATGATATGGTCAATTTTTGACAGCTCGTGCGGAACTAAATAGGCCGTGTCCTTTCCAGGGTCTCGCCCCCACCTGCTACGGCCGGCCGGCCGGCCGGCCCCTTCTGGCCTTTGTACCTCCGCGCCTAGGCCGAAGACGGCGTTGCCACCGAGAAGAAGATAGAAATTGGATTGTGCAAGTCCTTCACAAGGCGAATAGAGCAAATAACACAAATGATTCCCGATCTTCTAATTTGTTCGGCAATACGGTCTCTAAAATTTTGTTACATGTTCAGTTCGGTCCGATAACTATATGAAAATGTTCAGCGTGGTTCATGAACTGTAACTTAATGTGCAATGTGGTCCCTAAGTTTTTGTTACATGTTCAGTTCGGTCTGAAATGTTCATCGTTGTCCTGAATTTGAATTAGCGAAATGATAATATTAAACATTTTCGTATAGTTTAGGAACTAAATTGAACGTGTACAAAAAATTTATGGAGCACATTGAAATAATTAAAAATTCAGGGGCCGCATTACACATTGAGCTAAAATTTAGGGGCCATATCGAACAAATTAAAAGTTCATAGATCGCATTAAGTCAAAGTTTGGAGATCATTCGTGTCATTATTCGAGAAGTTTATTTTATATTTTGATGTATTGATTATGTATATCATGAAAACAGCCGGTGCATTAAACATGACGAATACCTGAAAATGTTTTTTGACAAAAGTTTCAAAAGAAACTAATTATCGTGTCAGTAGTTGCTTTGAAAGAGATTTCTTGCCCCAAAAAAATTCATCCGCAGAAATCGACGGTCGAGATCAAAAGTTAGCCGTTCCGTAGGCCGATCAAAAGGTCCTCGAGATGTCACCATCCAGCGTCGTCGGACGTACAGTGACCGGCGCAAATTTTCCACGTGGCGCACCGCCTGTGGCGCGCGCACGGGTCAAAGTCAAGCCTTTTAAAAGAAATTTCTTCGGAAAAGACCCACCCGGCCACTCCCTTATTATATTGAACGCCCTTTTTGAAAAAAAAAAGAAAAAGCGATTATTATTTTTTATTTATTACTTTCGCTTATTTTTCTACTTCTCTGGAACAGCGAGTAAAAAAAATGGTAAAGCGCAAAAGAGAAGGCCCGAAGAAAAGAAAAGAAGAAGACGACCAGAGAGAGAGAGAGAGAGAGAGAGAGATTTGTACAGTGCGAAAGCTGCTTGCTTTCTGCTGTTGTCAAGAATGGCGGACAGGGATTGAACGGTCTTCTCCCTTCCTTCCTTCCTTCCTTCCTGCTCGCGGCTCCATCGTCATTGCCTCTTTTGCGCGTGGACTTTTCCAATTCTTCCTGGCGTCCGCAGTACGGCAAAGGGCGACACAGATCCCTGGCTTCTCCTTCACTCCCCTCATCTCTGTCTCTCCATTATCGTCCATGCAGTCGGAGTAGAGGTGGGTGGGAAGCCGCTGGTTCCGCCGCTGTGCCGGTTGCTGAATCGAGAGGGGGTCGCCGCCGCCGCCCGAGCGCGCGATCTCCGGCGGTTCCGGGTTTCTCTTTCGTCTTTTCTTTCCTCTCCCGGCGGCGGCTGCTGCTGAGCTCGGTAAGGTCTCGGCCTCTCGCTCTTCGCGCCCTCCGGTCAGTTGCCCGTGATTTTCTCGAGTGAATTTCGGATTTCTCTCGCCTCGCTCGCGTGTGTGTTAGTCGGAGTGAATGTGCGTCTGGGCTCGCTTGTTCTGGAGTGCGTTCGTCTGGGTACTGTTTGTTTTTACCCCGAAGAGGAATGCGAGACGTGTTGGGATTTTCAGGAATTTGAAGAATCGATCCGTTTGATTAGTTTCCATCCCCCCTCTCTGTGCATTTGTCTGAGGGAGCGGTTTCATGTAATTGTACGCTTTTCGTCTGATTGTTGTAACCTATTACGACTCCTGTCGTCGCGCAGGAAAACCCCTGCATCAAAGTGATGAAGTTTGATCTTTGAGTGAAATTGAGCATGTAATTAGATGTTGACTTGGTCAATGCAACTGCTTGTGTTATGCTGTCGAGCGCGTACTTGTATGCTCGGTGGTTTGCTTTTTATTCTCTTCTTGGGTGAAAGTTGCATCCTTTGCTTGAACGGTAAAAGCCTTGGCGGATGGTGCATGCATCATTTTTTTTCTTTTAAACTTTAAGGTCAGCCATTTAATTAGAAACAAAAAGGGTTAGCTACACCAACTTAAGTGTGCCCCACTTCAGTTGCTTCTTGATCTGATCTAAGTATCTCCTTATGTCGTCTATTCTTGATTCCATTTTCATTTTTCGACTCTGATTTTGTAAGTCTTGTCATGTTTTTTATTTGCGAATTTCCAACAGTATCACTTGCCATCTTGTTCATTTGGTTAGTCGAGTATCTAGGGCATCTACTTAAAGAGTTCAAATTACAAATCCTCCTATTTTGGGTTTTTGATGAAGTGTTAGGATTAGGAAGAGTCGGTTTTCAATGTTGAAAGGAAAAGGGATTTGCGCACGCAATACACTTAGCAAGCCACACCAATTTGCTTCAAACACGGTGTTTTCCGGAGCAGATACATGTTCTATATTCGGCTAAGAGCTTACATTGTATAAAGAAACTCCTAAGTTATGCAAAGGCGTGGATGCTATGGCCATTTGCAGAGCTAAATTTTGAGAAAGGCCTTTTTTATCTGTTGATAATAGTTTGCTTTGAGGTTATGTGACGTATTTCCTTGGATCATCTTTAGAGGAAAGTTATTGTAGAAAGCTGCATAATATGCTGCATTCAAGTAGCATTAGGTCGTTTCTCTCTTCTACTGTTTGTCATTTCACGGCTTTTTTTTAACTGTCTTGTTTCTCTGTATGATAGCTATAACTTACATGTTGTTTTATCAGCAACGTACTAATGCCATGTGTTTTATTCCAATCGTCAGCAGAAATTATTGATAAATGGACCCTTGTCATCGGTTTTGCACCTTCCGGAATTCTATCTCCAAAAGTGTCATTGTTCCAGTTATGATGGCAAGATGCAAAATGGCTGCTTCTTGAGAACAGAGACATCTCCATGTATGTTGCTGAAGTTCCTGAAAAGTCCTTTTCTTTGTGCTTGCTCTTCTTCTTGATGATACCCGGGCTTACTCAGCAGATACTCTTCCTCTTCGAATAGGTCAAATGAGCACGACTTGCCGTTTTCTGATTTCTATTTGCTTAGCTACTGTATAAATCAGACCTGTGGCTGTTGCAGATTTGTGCTTGCATTGAAGAAAGATGAAGAAATGGTACGGCGGTGTTTTGGTCGCGTCTCTTTTCATGTTACTCGTCCTAAGATATGTGGTCTTGAACAATCCCATGGGGCAAGGCTATCTGTCTAATCCATTCTCCTCAAATGCGAGTAATCCTCTCGAGTGGGTGCGTGCTACCGCTCCACCAACCATTCAAAGTCCGGTGAACAAATCTGTTGTTATCTCCACTGAAACAGTGGTCTCGAGTCTTTTTGCTGAAAGGAATATGTCTACTGAAGAGCAGCAATCTCTCTTTTCATGGCATCATTTGAGGCATTTGATAGATAGAGCTCAAGGATTACCTAATGGTTTAGAGGCTATAAAACAGGCTGAGAATGCATGGAATAGCCTCATGCTCTCAGTTGAAGAGGAAAGGCTTGCCTCTGGCAATGACACTTCACGAAGGAGGACAAATGAGAAACAATGTCCTCATTTCCTTAACAGAATGGATGCTACGGAGCTTGGTAATGAGGGATTTAGGTTGCGAGTTCCTTGTGGCCTTACCCAGGGCTCTTCCGTAACAATTATTGGCATCCCAGATGGTCTTCTCGGCAACTTTCGGATAGACTTAACTGGGGAACCACTTCCCGGAGAGCCCGATCCACCCATTATTTTACACTATAATGTAAGGCTTCATGGAGATAAGATCACTGAAGATCCAGTTATTGTCCAAAATACCTGGACTCTTGCTCATGATTGGGGCGAAGAGGAACGCTGTCCATCCCCATCTCCAGAAAAGAATAAGAAAGGTAAAGAATAAGGATACTCATCACCTTTGTGGTTCTCAGTAATTGAGTGCTAATTTTGTACGAGGTGGGTGGTGCTCATTATATCTCAATCTATATTCTATGTAATTCAGTAGTTACTGCTTTTGATGCATTGTTGACCGTTCGTATTTGATTTCTAAAGGGAGCCTTTGACTTATTGCAGAAGCTGGCTCAAGTCCTTTTCTAACTTATTTGGCCATCTGCTGTGCCTCTGAAATTCTAGTTTTTCGAATACCTGTGTAGCAGTTAATCCTGGACCTTGAGGACCCGTCATGTTCATGAATATTTGGGAACATAGTGTTAATTGCAATCATGTGAAATCTGCTAATTGTTTAAATTTGGCTTTTCTATGTGATTTGGAGATGATTAATACTATTGATATTCCTCATGGTGGCTGTGGCTGACTGTGCTATATTTTCTTCTTCAGTTGATGAGTTGGACCAGTGCAACAAGATGGTGGGTAATGATGATAATCGCGCACGTTTAAACAGTTCAAAACTGAATCCAACCAGGAAATCTACATCTAGGAAATACTTTCCCTTTAAGCAAGGTTATTTGTCTGTTGCAACACTTAGGGTTGGATCAGAAGGGATCCAAATGACTGTTGATGGAAAGCACGTAACGTCATTTGCTTATCGTGAAGTGAGTTATTCTTCCATCTGTAGTTGTTTGTAGAAGCTTGTTTTGCAGAAGCATTTGGTCATTTCCTTCCCTTATGCTTTCAGACCTTGGAGCCCTGGCTTGTAAGTGAAGTTAAAATCTCTGGGGATCTTAAACTGAATTCAGTTGTTGCCAGTGGTTTACCCACATCAGAGGATTCGGACCATACTACTGATTTGGAGTCCCTCAAATCGGTTCCTCTTCCTCGCGAGAGGCAATTAGATCTCTTCATTGGTGTGTTTTCAACAGCAAACAACTTTAAGCGTCGCATGTCCGTTAGGAGAACATGGATGCAATATGCAGCTGTGCGCTCGGGGGCAGTAGCGGTGCGCTTTTTTGTTGGTTTGGTGAGTTTTCCCATGTTTTGGACCTTCTCGTCTTGTGCCCATCTGTGTTCGTTTTCTATAAAGGAGCTGAAATCTTTTCCAGCCTAACATTATAGTGAAACCGCATGCTGCAAACAATTTTTTATGCAGGGCATATTCCCTCAATCATCGTGTCTGTTTTTCACTCTCTGTGCCAACACGTTATCTTTTCATTCAGCAGGATGCAAGATCTCAAACATTCTGGATTAATATTCTGTTATATTGTGGCTGTCAAATTATTTATCAACTTTGAATTGTGTTACAGCACAAGAACCAGATAGTGAATGAGGAGCTTTGGAACGAGGCAAGAACATATGGAGATGTACAGCTGATGCCCTTTGTGGACTACTACAATCTCATAACATGGAAAACCCTTGCCATCTGCATCTTTGGGGTAAAGTCTTCTCTTTTCCTTACCAAGATAAGGGTACTTTTTATAACCTCATAAGTTTATCCTCTCCACAGACAAAGGTCCATCCAGCCAAGTATATAATGAAGACTGATGATGATGCATTTGTTCGAGTGGATGAAGTGCTGGCTTCTCTAGGAAGGGTAAAAGCAAAAAGCGGGCTGCTATATGGACTCATCAACTCTGAATCTCGGCCTCATCGAAATACAGATAGCAAGTGGTATATCAGCCACGAGGTATGTTCCTACACATTATGGTTCATGGTTCCATATTGAAGCGTGGTTGGCCTAACCTTTTAGCTGCACCTCTTTCATTGACAAAGGAATGGCGTGAAGATTCTTATCCTCCTTGGGCACATGGGCCGGGTTATGTGGTGTCCCATGACATTGCATCTGCTGTCCATAAGAAATATCAAGATGGCCAATTGAAGGTACAGATAAGTTTTACTTCCATAAATGATGAAACATGCGTTTTACTGTCATTCATGGCTATTGCGCTTCTCTCTTGCGAGTTGCTTCACATGCTGTGCAATGAGTCGTCGATGTTATTGTGACAGATGTTTAAGTTGGAAGATGTGGCAATGGGGATCTGGATTGCCGATATGAAGAAGAGTGGTACGAAAGTACATTATGAGAACGATGGGAGGGTCTATAACGAGGGTTGCAAGGATGGTTATGTGGTTGCCCACTACCAAGGCCCTCGAGAGATGCTTTGCCTATGGCAGAAACTTCAAGAAGCCAAACGTGCCACATGTTGCGGAGATCGGTAGGCTCTTTACAGTTTCTGAAGCTGCGCGACGAGCGAGATTGACATCTCAGTATAGAACTTATTGCGTGGAAAGAAGGAGAGGTTTCCCCCACTAAATTCTCCTCCTCCAATTTTGTTTATTCTTTTCCCCGACTACATTGTATAGTTAGTATCCTGTGTGGTCCATGGGGGTAATGCTCGGACAAGTTGATCACCGCACAGAGAGAGAGAGAGAGAGAGAGAGAGAGAGAGAGAGAGAGAGAGAGAGAGAGAGAGAGAGAGAGAGGGATGATTGTACAGAGTTAGTCATAGGTGATTACCAGGCTACCGCTTACCAAGATGTTTGACAAACATTAAATACTTATCAGTTACCAGCATTCTTTTTGCTCTATACGTGAAGTGATCTTCTTTCTTGCTTCAAGTTCAGTCTCGTCTCTTCTTCTTACTTTTCAATTTGGACTTTGGGTGAATGGCATTTTTTCACCTTTGTCTCCTACTTATAATGGCGTCGGAAGAATTTTCCTGGGTACGTGACAGAGCCTGTCTAGTATTTAATATGTTCATGAAAGACTGTAATGCATCGGGTAAAAGAAGAGAACTTTCTCAAGTCAGCGAACGACTTGAGTCATCACGCATCTTCAACGAGCAGAGCAATCTGTTTAGGACTATAATCTACCAAGACAAGAAAGATGCAGTGTTCGGACTGACACGTAGAAACTACGGCTAAGTTGGTCTCAATGCATCACTAATTTGAAAGTGAACGATAGAGAAGATGAACCAATTGAAGAAACAATGTCAACCCTAGACAACATCCAACGCTATATTCCATGCAGCAACCCGCACTCAAAACAATGACTGTTACACCAACAATGAAACAAATAACTACAGGCAACGGTTCAGACGGACAAAACACATATATGGTAGAAACTACGTAGTGAATGATCAAGTGGCCATGCACCCTATGCCATATCTGGTGTTGGGGAAGACCAAGAAGAGGCCACTGCACACGACTCCCACCATCACGGGGAAACTCTCCATCACTTGGTCCATCTCCTTCACGTGCCCTGGGAAGAGGCAATTCGTCACCCGGTAGTCCGACAGTGCGATTGCCGCAAACACCATCACTGACATCACCGCGTGCACCAGATCAGAGAACCTCACCTGGTACCGCTCGTCCTGGGGGACCTCCACCCCGAGGCCCGTCTTGAACAGCGACAGGCCCCGCGGCGTGACGAACCCGTAGTAGACCTGGCCGTCGGGCGTCTTGAAGCTGTCCGTGAAGTGGAAGAAGAAGCAGGAGAGGCTGCAGAGGCCGAGGAGCGCGTGGATCATCGACGTGTTCACCCCCGAGCACTCGCCGCTCCCGTATGCTGACGGGAGGAGCATCTCGAATGCCAGGAGGGTCCCCGTCGGGAGGAAGTTGGCGAGCATCGAGGTCTTCGAGAGCGTCTTCTGCACCCCCTTCGCCACGGCCTTCCTCTTCCGCCCGGCAGGAGCAGCGGCGTCGCCGCCGCGGCCTTTCGCGGGGACTGGCTCCGGCGCGGAAGCGGTATCGGCATCCTCCGGCGGCGGGGTTTTCGTGGGCGTGTAGATTTTGATGCCGACGTCCGGAGATTGTTGCTCCATTGTCTTCTGTCTATCTGGATCCCGGCAAAGCGAAAAGAAGCGCAGATGAGAAAGAGTGCGAAGAGAGAAGATGGAATGTGTCGGAATCGTTGTCTGAATATATGAAGCATATCGAACTCTTACAGGAGCAGTTACTTCCCGCAAATTTAGTAACTTCTCTCCATGAATTCAAATTCAAAAGGCTCGAGGAAGTTTTTTGTTCTAACGTTCATGGAAGAACGATCTAACCTTAACTTTGGCACGTTTGATGTTTTTGATTATTTATTTTTTCCGTATGAATTTTTTCAAATTACTTGATCTTTTTTCATGCACGGACCATACGCTTCCGCGCAATTGATATTTTATGTGTAATATAGTCGAAATCAATTCTTTTTCTTCGAGAGTATCTTTAGAGGCTTTCATATCATTCATATTGTTCGTATGGACAGCGCATGCATGTTTTGCCTCGAAAAGTATAGCTTGTTCTTCTACAGTACGCCGATGTATTTAAATGTATAAATATACTTTATTCTTGTACAAACGTACTTGTCATATCATCCGTGGAAGTTGTGGATTGAAACTCTTTGCCATCCCATTCTAAACAGGGATTGATCAATGGCCATTGGCCACCGAGAGCCCGATCCAATATCAAAAGAATTACAGTTACACGGATGATCGTCTTTATGCGCTTATAATTAGGATGGGTTTCTAACACTTTAGATACCATATTATTTATCAAACGAGTTAATATCATTAAAAATCTCAAATTGATCATCCACGACACATTTACTTCAGATTAATTTTCGCCTCTCCAAAAATATCCTAAACCGATACCCTGATCCAAATTTGTCATCCGTCAAGATGCGTACATGTCAACACAAGTGGATTTTTCACGTCGATTCTTCACATTAGATTCATTTTGCGGTTGCTTGCTATGTGTGTCGATACGCATGCATTTTAACGGAGAGTAAATTTGGGTAAAGGCACTGATTTAGCATTTTTGGTGGGACGAGAATGAGCTCGCGGTAAACATATCACAAGGATAATGATTTGAGATCTTTGCCGACGCGAAAATTGGTTTGCGATAAACACATCATACATGTATCGATTCGAGATTTTTAATGGTATTAACTCCTTTAGGAGCACATTTTAAAGCTTAAAAGAGGTCCTGCTGTGATTAACGACTAATCGGGTTATAATTTGAGATTAAGTTTAAGCTATTCGAATAGCATCCCGCTGCTTCATAGCAGCAATTCAAGGGCAGGTGAGCTCTAACCTCTAAGTATCTCCTGAGGGAGAGGCTAGATGGAGATGTAAGGTTTGGTCATAATGGATAAACACGAACACCCCATTTATATATATTTTGGTGTAATCTGACGAAATTCTGTCAAAACTCACAAAACGACAAGTAATTACATTACATAAACAAACATAAATCAAGTTGGTCCACCTCTGACCAACAAGACAAGTGTCCACCAATCACTTTCATGGTGCAATTCTTTGATTGTTCCTCCATCCAATCAAATACACAAACCCTGTGGGCGCAATCCACCAAATATCTGCCGATCTTCTCATCTTCACCCCTCCCCATCAACTCCCTGACAGCTCGCATGGCTTCTTCCGATGCAGAACCACCGCCGCCCGAAGCTCCTCCGAGGCTCCAAGAAAACCAGAATCAAGAACGCGGCCACAACCCACGACCCCGCGACAGGATCATCCTGGTCAACCCGCTGACACAGGACACGGTGGTCGTGGACCCCTCGTCGCCGCCACCGCCCAGCTGGGAGCCGCTGCTCCGCGCGCTGCGGGCCGGCAAGGGCGGCGGCCGGCCGCCGGCGTCGGGAGAGTCCGTGCGGGCCATGCGGGACGTGATCAAGAGGACGAGCGAGGGAGGGCGAGAGGAGGAGGGAGAAGAGGAGGAGGAGGAGGAGTGCGCGATATGCATGGAGGAGTTCGAGGAGGGGAGAGAGATGCCGTGCGGGCACAGGTTCCACGGCGGCTGCATCGAGCGGTGGCTCGGGATTCACGGGACTTGCCCGGTCTGCCGGTACCAGATGCCCGTGGACGAGGCAGCCGCCGCGAGGAATAGATGGGAGGACGATGGCGAAGAAGGCGAAGGAAGAGAACAGGGGAGGAGGGACGTTTGGATCAGCTTCTCCGTCGTGAGACGAGACAGTTCGAGCTTGATCGTTCATCATCATCATCATCATCATCTTCATCATCACTACTGAAGGGACGGAGCATGAGTCGTGTCCTGTCCTCCTGCTGAGTTTTTGTTCTTTTGTTCTTTGTTTTCTTGCATCGTTCGAGTTTAGGGAAACAGCACTTTGGGCGTGACGTGTGATGTTGTAAGCCCGGCTTGGAGCCTCCCTCTGATTGAGTTTTGATGTTGTTCTTTGTTTACTTTTCTATTTGGCTTGGCGAATAATGGACATTGGGGCTTCTTGACTAGGGTTTTGTGCACGAAATTCAAGAAAGGTCGCAAGCATGAGGTCATCCCTTATCAAGATGTCGTCCTCGTGCATGAACTAGACCAACCAGCAATCATTTGATGCTGGTGATATTGCGTCTCTTTTTAAGTGAGTTCGATATAAGGCCCACTAGAGCCTGGTTTTAGTTTTTGGTAGTTGATATCCGGTCATGCTCCATGATGAGAGTTCCACTCACCTGAATTAAGGTCCGAAAGCCATGGGTCTTGTTTGGTTCGTTGTGTGTATATATATTAGATGAATCAAGTAAATGACTCCACTTTGGTATTTAGGAAATTTTCTTCGTCAAAATAGAGAGGAGAAAGTGCCAAAAAAGTTATAGTCCTATTGCACTTGTGTCAATTCAGTTATAAATATTTCAATTGTATTAATTGAGTTTTAAACCTTTTGACAGTTTGCCAATATAATCCACCCGGTCAATTTTAGCCGGAAATCGCTGATAAGCATGCCGGCTGTTCTACGTGGCAAGAGTAGCGCTGACATGAATAATATTTACAATTTTTAAATATATTTTTTGAATTTTTTGTTAATTTTTTTCTTTTTTTCATTGTGGCCGGCGAGGACATATGATTCCCTCATCGGTTTCTAGCAAGGGGTGCGGCTCTTGCCCGACCACGGGGGTCGAACCCTCTCTACATCTGACGAGGGTGACCCTCACTCAGGCTGAAAGGGTCGAGCCCTCGTGGTTTGGGCGAGAGCCGCCCTTGTGCCCTATGGTGAGGCTTGCCCTCACATGGGTGAGGGTTACCCTCGCCGGATTTGGCAAAGGCTCGAAGCTCGTGGCTTAGGTGAGGGCCACGACCTTTACTGGCCGTAGTGAAAAAAAAAAGAAAAAAATCAGAAAAGATATTAAAAAATTGTAAATTTTATTTACGTCCTGGTCGTGCCACGTAGAACGATCGGTGTCCATATTAGCGATTGTTGATCAAAATTGGTTGGATGGACTACATTAGCAAATCGTCAATAGGTTTAAGACTCAATTAGTACAATTAAAAGGTTTAGAACCGAATTGGCACAAGTGTAATAAGTTTATGGTTGTTTTGGTACTTTTCCCTAATAGAGAGAATTATGGTAAGGGATAGTGATGCACATAGTCCCTGAAGTCTCGCCTAATGTGCAACGTGGTTCTTGAACTTTTACTTAGTTCAATATGGTCTATGAACTTTATTTCAATGTGCAATGCTGTCCTTAAACTTTTAATTTATTCAATGTGGTCCCTAAACTTTTGATTTATATTCAATCTAGTCATTGAACATTATGAAAATGTTCAATATTGTCCCTAAAGGCTAAATTGACTTAGTACCAAAAGTTTAGGAATTCCCAGGATGATATTGCATAATGAATTAAAGTTCATGAATCACATCGAACAAATTAAAAGAAGCGATTCGTGAGGTGTGCTTGGTTGTTCGGCAGCGCAATTCATACGCGTGAATCAGGGGCGTGGCTCGTGTTCAACTTGCCCGCATATCAAATACAAACGATTTTATAGTTTTAGGCCATTCGCTTTCACTTCACCTCTCGTCTAACTTAATTTGGGAGATGGATTCGAGCTTATGTTGCCCCTCGCAGGGTATCAAATCTCATGTGTTTGGCCAAAAAAACAATAAAGTGCTGCTAACATTGCTCAATCGTTCAGCCATACGTGATTCCTTTGCTCAATGGCATATGCTTAGTACAATACTCTTTCGATGTGCCCATCGCAATAATCCGACGGCCTATAAAGTTACATTGCCCGCGAGATGGAAAGCATATACTTGTCCAGAGCAAACATTGCATGCTCCCGATACATGTGAGCACGAATCACTCGTTAGTTTAGATCATGTGGATTTTACATGAGATCCATTTCATCCGATAGAAAAGGTGTATGCTCGTTTACACCCACCTCATTCTGAATTGGATGTCCCTACATGTCGTAAATGGCTCTTTCTTCCAAAAAACATATTGAAAATAACAATCACTTTAATTTGTTTTCATTCGATAATTAAGAATTATAATGATTTCTCAAAATTATCAGGATTTGTAACTCTAAAGAGTGGAGCAATGACGACAATTACTTCTCTCGAGGAAAATCTTTTCGAATTTTTTACTCTAAGGAGAATCGAAAGAGGTAGACAAAATGAAAAAGTCAAGAGAAAGGTTTTAAGACTTTTGAACCAAAAAAAAAGAAAAAGAGAGAGGAATGGTTTAAGACCTTTATTTGTTCTTTTCAAGAAAAGCAAAAAAGCACCCAGCAAATGAAAAGACAAAGCAATCTTGAAAAGTTGAGCCGGACAAGGTTTACTATAGATTTAAATCTTTGAAATCATCTATTAAAATAGCATCATCTTATCTTTTTTTATATTAATAAAACCTCATTAAACGCTCGAAATTCATTTGTATACAATAGATTATAGATTTTGGGTAAACAGCCAAACTCTAGCCAAAAAAAAAAAGTCAAAAAGAAAAAGCCTCGTATCGTAAAAAAAAATATAAGAGGGGTAATAATTTACAGATAAAATTTAAAATAAGGACTTGAAATGTCATCATTTTCTCAAATAAAGACTTAAAGTAGATCTTATTTCAAATAAGGGCTTTAAGTGTCATTATTTTTTCAAATAATGATCTAAAATAGATCTTATTTCAAATAAGGGCAGGAAGTGGCTATATTAGTTTCAAAGAGGGGCTTGACTTTTCGGATAATCCAGGGTATTTTTGTCCTTTACTTTTCTTTTTGAATTCTTTCCCTTTTTTTCCTTTTTTCCTCTTTCTAGTTTTTTTATTTCTTCATCTCCGATGGCCGACAATTTGGCCAGGGCCACCCTTGCCGACCACAGGCGAGGGACGGCTTCACTAGATAGGGCGAGGGCAACCCTCGCCTAGCCCTCTCTCGGCATCGCAGGCCACCGAGATGAAGAAAGAAAAAATCTAAAAAAGGAAAAAAGAAATAAAAAAGGAAAAAAGAAAAGAAAGGAAAGGAAAAAAAAAGAAATGAGAAAAAATAAAATATATTTTAAAATAAAAATTTTCTTTAGACGAAAATGCTCTCGATTGACCATAATATTTACCCCGGCCAGCGATTGGCGAAGTCAAACCCTTATTTGAAATTGTCATGACCACTTCGTGCCTTTATTTGAGACTGACATAATCATTTTAAGCCCTTATTTAACATATGATTTACTTCATGCCCTCGTTTGAAAAAATAAGAGTGCTTGATGCCCTTATTTAGAATTTTCCCTAATTTACATGAGCCACCTTTACATGTCGCGGATTTGAATAGTCTATGCCCAACAGAAGTCCCAAAAACATGGAGCGAAGAAGGGGCCGAGCTTGCCAAGAGATAGGCCTGAGCGGCGAAGGAATGATCTTGTTCCGTGCAAGAAGCGCCTGGAAATTTCTGAAATCCTGAACTTGGGTCTTCTGCGAATCGGCCCCGGTTGGTGATTCTTCTCTCCCTCTTTCAAGTTTCGGGTTCCATTCTTCCCCTCCTGCCCGAAAGACGCACGACCCACCCTCATTTTCTCTTTGATTCATTGACGATTGCATCCCTTTGATCCCGTTAAGTTTCGTTTCCCCCGGCAATTCTCTCTGGGTACCGCCATCGCTTTCTGCTGCCACTGTCCTTACCAACCTCCACGAACGACTGTTGCTACTCTGTTTTCACGACAGTCATTGTTATCGTACCATCTTTGCTCTTGTGATGAATTCAAAGCCACGAAAGATGGCATCAGCTTGTTCTACGTAAGATGCAGCTGCAAGCCCAGCAGCAAAAACTGCTCGGTTCTACGACAGGAGAAGCGGGTACCGACAACCGCGCGTGACCTGTTCGACGAATTGTCTCAAAGACTAATTGAGTTCCGCTTTTGCCGCTTTTTTTCCCTCGTGTTCACCCTTTTGGCGACGATTCTTTTGCAGGGTGTGATGCTTCTGTGAGTGATTCACTCGACCGGTTGCGTTGAAATTCGGGGGATATAATTTGGTCCACGGGGGTTGGATTATGGCTCTTTTGAAATTTCCGGTGATGCAGTGGGAAAAGTCTGTTGTCTTTGGACCCAATTCGAAACCTTTTATGCTCCCACCAAGAATAGAAACAAGTACGTGACGTTTGTCGTCTTGTTTACTTCGGCATGGGTCGTTGTGCTAACGGGCGCATGGGAAATCTTGTAGGGTTCCTCGTGAAGCCACTGGTGATCCAAGCTAAGGCAAATAGCCGAATTGAAAGTCCGAAGATCCGAAACAGGAGAATGCGAACGAAGGTACTGTTTTATCCGGTGGATGTCCTGTATTCTGTTTCTGATTACGTAAACTCAGCTGTGTTTTTAAATATGTTGATTATAATCGATTCAACAAGTTAAAAAACAATTTCAGCATTTTGTTGTTGGAAATTTCATTGGTGGATTTGTTTTTTTTTTGAAGTTATTGAACACTGTCATCTATTTCTTGCATGTATGTTTCCAGTTTCTCCTATCCGAAACAAGTATGGCAATATCTTATATCTAAGGTTGAAACTTTGAGTAGCAACACTGTTCTGAATCTTTCTCAGTTCATGATATAAATTATACTAGGATTAAATTGTTGCCAGTTTCTAGAATTGTAGATGAGCTTTCGTCAGTTTATTTCTTCAAGAATGGTTTCTTGTTGCCATCTTATATATATTGCTATCTTCTTAACCAGTATACCGGCACCCCTACAAGACCAAGGCTTTCAGTATTCTGTTCAGATAAGCAGTTATATGCCATGCTGGTAGATGACCAAAACAAAAAATGTTTGTTTTATGGAAGCACTCTTCAGAAGTCCATTCGGGATAATCCCTCGTGCACAACCATTGTAAGTCCTAAATTGAGTTTTTTTTGGGATATCTGATAGATAAATAAATCCTGGGAATGAAGAACTTCCTATTCAATAATAGAAGTTTCAATTGAGTGTGGAACTTACCTCACGCCAATCAGGAAGTGGCTCGACGTGTTGGTGAAGAGCTTATCAAGTTTTGTGTCGACTTGGACATTAATGAGATATCAACATATGATCGCAATGGTTTAGCTCGTGGGGAGAGGATGCAAGCCTTTGAAATTGCAATTGCTCGTCATGGTTTCTTGCCTCGCTAAATTTGCCTTGGTCCATAATGCTTCCTGTAAGTCCCAGTTACTTTGTCCCAGGGTAATTTGCTTGGTGGGGCACATTATTATGCTCATCTTGACTCTTCTTTAGTGCATCTACATTGACAAGGCAAAAGCGCTTCCTGGGTTTTAATCGATTTGTGTGCCAGTTACAATGAAAGGAGATTTGGTAACATCATATGGAGTGGCAAATAAACTAGCAGATTGGCAAGTGAACTTTGGGATCTATCTAGGAGGAATGCTGAGCTTCTCACCCATCCTCTTCTTCGGCTATCTGCGTCATTGTTAGGGTCAAAGTAGGTAGTTTCGAGTGTGATCTTTGTATTTTGTAATTTTTCGGCCGTTCAATGTAGTAACGAAAATATAGGTTTGGCAAGATGCGTTTTCCTGATATTGTTGCCACTGATAAAGGAGGTGGTACTTTGCTGATGTTGGGTTCGACGGGGATGTGACAATTTTATTGCATGATGTACTTATAAAGTATGTGTGGATGTATGAACGTTCATCCTCTTAAAGGGAAACCATAATTTTTCATGGATCATACTCATTTCAAATGAGTCTCATACATGACTTACGGGAGAGAATTCCAATCCATTCTCATGTCTAGGTCGAGCGGGAAAAATCAGTCCCCCAAAAGAAAAAAGACAAGGTCGAGCGAAAATCATGAACTTCTTGTCGCAGCTTCACTGCTCTAGGCATATTCTTCGTTCCGGTAAATTACAGGAACACCAGAACGAGCAATACGAACCATAAGAATAACTTTCTCTTTCAGGGATTTGCACAAGGAGATCAAGAAACGTAGAAGGGGGGATCTACTTCTTCTGTTACCTTTGTGGGCACTTGACCCGTGACCAAAACCAGCTCAAATGGGCCAAACCGACGGATATTCACTAAGATTTAGCCTCATTATTTTGCATGGAGACGGCACTCATTGGATGTCCGAATGGGACGGCCATGTGATGGCCACATGATGGTTGATCCTGGAAAATTTCAACAGAAGAAAGAAGAAAACAGGAGGAATGAGAAAAGCTCGGGCTTAAATCTTCAGTCACCGGCCAAATTGAAGAGACGTAGGCGATTTAGATGCCCTCATAAAAGATCGAAACGACGTTTGTTTCTCTCTTTCTAAGCATTGGCCCAAAGCTGCATCGCACAGGTAAAGACAAAACAATCACGATCACAAAAAAGTTGAATTAATTTCCAGATTATAACATCAAAGCTCCTTCTGGGGGTTATATACCTTCGGTTACAAACTATTGTACAAACTCGATCTGCTCGTTCGCTACTAAAGAAGAAACGGAAGTAAATGGAGACGAAATTTCTTAGAAACCCCCTGGAAGCTTCAGAGCGGTGCTCAACATCTCGATTCTCGTCGCCTTCCTCTATCGACTTCGATTCCGCCGCGGTACTTTGTTCGTTCCCGGCCAGAAGATTGCCATAGATCGATTCATCGCATGATTGGAATCCTCCGTCCCCGTGCCGATTTGAAGAGAAGACAATGGACCAAAATGTAATAATACAAAATGAATAAGGATAGGAAGAAGATTGGCGCTCCGATTGTACATTTTCATTATCTCGTCGAGATTGATTAGTCATAATCAAACAGTCCATTGCTGTCGCTTCCCAGCTGTGCGTGCATGTGCATGCCAGGCTCAGAAAACTTTCCTGAGAAAAGGACATCGGAACTGAGAATGAAAATTTCCTAGGCGACAAACGGGTTCTTCTTCCATTTTTACCGCAGTTGCTCGAGTGTTTTAGGACCGAATGGAGCTGAGTAAAACCCCTTCAATCCAAGGAACAGGGCACAAAGGGACAGCGACACAGACATGTCTTGCTGTTTCTCTTATCGATTCAATCAACTGAGCACCACACAACTTGTATATACAAGGCAATTCTCCTTCAGTGGGTTGCTTTCTTACTTTCCAAAACTCAAGGAAATCCCGTTCATTTCGGACGGGACGACCCGAAAACAAAAAACAAACAAACCGACGTCGGTGTCGTCATGGATCGACTTTTCTCAAAGTCCATCGAGTTGAAAGCGAAAGCAATGCTACAAATATAACGACATGCCGATTGCGTAAGCTAAACTTGAATCGTTAAGTGAGTGCTAAAATTTAAACATTTTAAACACGTACTATAGAGCTCCAAGAGTACATATAAAAGTCCTTCAATTTAGATAGAATAATATGGAGTTTACAGTACAAACCGCATATTATAATCGTGGACATACACAGCCAAATGCTAAACAAACATGACCTTCTCGAGCACTAAGAAGGACAAAGGCAAAAGACTCCTAAAATACAAAATGCTACATAGCTGCGGGTGGTAAAACTCCACCACTGCCCACTTCTGTAATTGCTAAAATATGCAGGGAGGGACCACTCGCAACCAAATAATGCCTCAACATGAGAAGAGCCACTGTAAAATTATTAGCCCTTCGCATATTGACTCAGTTCGGAGCTAGGATTAGGAGGCCACAATGGCCTCCGCCAACATATTACAAACACGACACACGTATACTCACTCAAATCTCAATCAAGGGTTGAGGTGACAACTCTCTATACTAACCACAATATACACATCTTCGCCTATAGGTCGGACGCGCGTTACCGTCTTATTCGGCGCTAGCTGGTCCCTGTAAATATATTTGTTTCTCTAGCGGAACTGGGCTCCCGAGAAGGTCTGCCCGAACGACCAGCGGACGGGCGCCACGTTGTAGGACACGACACTGCGGCCGTCGCTGGTGGTGACCTTGAAGGAGAGGCTCTGGCCGTTGAGGTAGTTGTTGCTCTGCCAGTTCTGGCCCCAGTTCCTCGACATGGACATCCACCCGGTCCTCGACCCTTTCACGGACGCGGCATGGACGTCGCCGGCCCCGCCCACGTTGGTGATGAGGACCAGGTTGAAGTAGGAGTGGCCGTTGATCGTGAACCTTATGCCTCCTCTCCTCTGGCAGGGTACCCTACAAATAGTCCCCGACACTAGACATTGTAAATTGACCGATCGTACCTCATTGTTCATGTGCTCCAAACACATGCAACTAACTTTTTTCATATGACCAAAAAAAATTGGGCCTAGCGATGCTATGTTCGTACCTCCGGTACGCGACAGGCACAATCCCGGCCTGGTACCGGGCGATGTGCTCGAAGACGGGCTGAGAGAGGTCGAAGTGGTGGAGAGGGGGGTTGCACCACCCGCCCGCATTGTTGGGGAGTGCGTTATTGGGCGGGCAGAAGTTGGTGGCGGTGACCACGATGGTCGCAGGTAGGCACCACTGGCGGTCGTTCATGCACCGGATCTCGTAGCACGACCCACAGCTCAGGCCATTGTTGAAAAGGGCCGTGCTCAGCGCCGCGGTGTTGGTGCCGTAGCCCTGGCTGTACAAGTTTCCATACCCGCAGGCTCCGCCTATGTGACCAAAAATTTGAAGATGAGACGGATTTTAGAGATGAGCTCCTACTCTCGAGCGGAAGTGACAGGATTGATTTTTGTCTAAACTTTTATGACATTGGAAATTTATCTGGAGGCACTAAGCAGAGCATAATGCAGAGGACTCTTTTGTTGTGCTAGCGACTTCCCTTAAATGCCTGTTAACCTACAAATTTTGGGAAATGTGGAAAAAAAAAGCAATTTCTTTTCCATCTTCTTTTCCTTATGGTGCATGTAATTATTGTACTTTACCATCTTTCATGTCCTGAAAATGTAAATTTGGCCAAGTGTGAGAAAGCTTAACAAATGTCAGTGAAATTTTTCCATCAGATGTACCAGAACAGTAGGACCGCAGTGAAATGTGGAAGAAAATGGACTTCATTGACACGTTTCTGTGGGCTGTCATTACCTTATCATTGTTATTATTAGCAAAGTGAGTAGCTGTGTGCAGTGCTAGTGAGACAAAAACAGAGTAAAGGAGTTTGAAAACGAAGAGGCAGAGGAGGAAGAAGAGAGAGGTGTCGAAGTGGGAAGGGCTGGTTACCCATGGTCCCAGAAGCGTCACTGCCTCCATAGAAAGTGGCATGAGCATTAATCCACCCTCCTCCTCCATACCCATCGACGGAGTACACCCACATTGCGAGCCAACCCACCATCACCAACCCAACCACGGCCATTCTTTTGCTTCTCCTGCACAACCCAAAGACCAAATCAACACCATTACGCAATGCAGCATTCTTGGGTAAAAATGAAACTCCAGTTTTGAGCACGCCACACTCTCCAAGCTTAGCACAAGTTTGGATGAAAAGAAAGAGGCTTTTTGGAGTTCGCTTTTAGAGCAATGACCAAAATGGGAGTTAGGGTGATTATTACCTGCAAAAAACTGAGCAGAACTTCAGTCTTCACACACACACTCGAGAGAGAGAGAGAGAGAGAGAGAGAGTGGAGTGAGGGAAATGAAGGTGGCTTAAGTGGGAGATTTATAGGGAGTTCTGGGAAGAGGGGTGGGTTGCTTTACCGCCTCTGGATGTTTAGTTGCTTCACAACTAACACAGACACTTAAACTTTGTCGAACTGTTCGGTGGGGACCAAAAGACTGCAACTGTTGCAGGACCGTACGAGCGGTTTCCAAATAGTGAGCGAACGAAATTTGCGTAAAACGAGGCCCGAAGTCCGGTTTTTGGGAAGAAAGCGTGTGGTTTTCGTGGCGTTTTTAATCCGAAAAAAAAAAAGGCCAAAAAGAAAAGGAAAGACCCTCCAAAATCTAAGTGGGGATCGGACAGAGATACAGATGGCGGTGTTTGAGAGCTGCCATATGCCCACATGCAATCGTTTTGTTCGCATGCAACGCCCGTTTGCGGCACCTGCCCCTTCTCTCTCTTCCCCCGCCCCCCCTACTTTCTTGGATGCTCTTTCGTAGCTTCTTAATGATACGTCGTTAAGCGGGATCATCGTTCCTGATCAAGCCAGTTCCATGGAGTTAACATACTATAAACCCCAGAAGAGAACACTAGACCAGCAGTGGAGGAAACCCTTAGAGGAGTTACATCGCCATGCGTTAATCGCACGATCTGCTACATTAGTCGCTTGTTAACCGAGTTCTTCTCTTTTTATTACGTGATTCTTCTGGGTTGAACAAAACACAGACAGACTCCGCACTCTAAGGAAGAACGGGGAGTGATCATTACAGCTCGCAGCTACATACGTCCTTGAAGAGGAGATTAGATGGGAGTTGCTCCCAACTTCCGTTCGCTTCATTTAATGGGTGCATTCTCGTTTAAAACCAGAGAGACCAACATGGTTCATCTTTCTCTCTGCGTGTTGCTGCTCTACAGCTCTAGGGTTTTGATGAATCAACGTGGGTTCACTTGCTAGAATGGAGACAAACTCTCTAGCCTCGATTCCCTTTGTAGGAGTAGCTTCAATCCGGCATGTTTATTAACCCTAGACTCTTAGTTTTTTTCCTTCTTTTTTTGGGTCAGAACCTAGACACTCAGTTCACCCATTATGTAAACGAGTGAATGATTACACGAGTGGAGACACTTCGTTCAACCCTAGCCTTGATTCCCTTTCTAGGAGTAGCTTCATTCCGGCAATGTTCATTAACCCCTAGACACTTAGTTCACCGTTAGGTAAACGAGGGAATGACCATTGGAATGGACGACGCATGAAGGTGGGTTGATGTTTATCACCTCAAAGCTCAAGCTTAGTTACCCAATCAATCCTTAATTCCTATACTCCAAGCTGATTGACAGCTCTGTTATAAAGATTATTCAAACCAAAAAATTCTTCAGAACACTAAATCTCGAACTATACATCTTGTCACTTTTATAGCAATCAAAAGTTAACAGTTAGTTTTTTTTACGATTAATGGGCACTCTAATCGATGAAGTTCACGGGTGCCAATGCCGTAAGAAGCAATAATTAGCAAATGATGATGCATAATCAAGGACAGCATCCTTCCACGTACGACAGACATGGATTCTAATTTGGATTCCAGCATTCCTCTCTCTCTCTCTGTCTTTCGCTATCCCCCCTCCAAGTTCCAAAAGCATACGTGTCGTTTAATGCGATGGGTTGGTGGTTATCTCCTCCATAAACACAGCTGTAATCGGTCGATTTTGTTTACGAAAATAGGATCAGCATGGAAAACGAAATTTGCCATTGCATTCGAGGATTGATTAGCGAGAAAACACGGCCGGGATTTCCGGTGTTCAGCCTGTCAATCAATCATCGGCTTGACAAGCCTCCCAAACTAAGAATTTAGAAACGTAACGTAATATTCATGGTTGTGTGGAGAAATGTTATTAGTTTGCACGAAATTATCTTCATTTAATTCGTGAGCCTTTGCCTCTATATTCAATGTGATAAAGTTGATTTGTGATGGCAAGCATATATAAAGAATTGATGATGCGACAAGGCCACGTGGAAGTAAACTCTTGAGTGCTAATTAATCCCAAAAACCATCCTCGACCTTCCCCTTCCTTACATTTTTCTCGTTGCATCCTCTCATTTCAAAATTTGTACTTTGCATCTCATATTTTCGAAACCCTAAGTTTTGCATCCGACGAACGTGACTCTCAAAAACCTGGCAAAGCATAAGGTTCTCGAGGCTTCAGAGGCACAAAGCATGAGGTTTTTGAAATGTTAAGTTATAAAGCGCATGGTTATCAAAGTAGGAAATGCAAAGCATACATGAGGTTAGCGTCGGTCTTGTAATCGTCCCTAACTTGCACTCGTGAAAATCATATAACAACACAAAACAAAACGTATGCTTACATGTTCGTCCACAGGTAAAATCGGATGCGTAATTATTGGATTGACTATTGCAAAGTAGCGAGATGTATTGATCTAAATTAGGCGCGCTGATTTTGTTTTTTCTCCCCAATAAATAGGCAAAATTGCTCGATTTCAAGTCAATAATGGTGGGTAGGCTCCATTCCATTCGAGAGATAATGTGCATTTTTCCGCGCACATGCACTCCACACACACCTTTTTGGCTCTTTGCGCATCCGTCCTTAATTTCTTTTGTATTCTCTTTTGGGACGCTTCGTTTCAAGATTCTCTCGAGGAGGCCACTGGAAATCAAGCAATTTGAGAAATTTCGTGGGTTCATCTTTTTTTTTTTTGTTGAATTCTATGGCCACAACGCGAGCTTAGCTAGAGAGATAAGAACTTGGTTAATGCTTGATATTTTTCTCAATATTTGCACTACTTTATTTTATTTATTTTTAAAAAAAAAAAAAGAGTTGGCATATATAATTATCATTTTTGTAATTCTGAAAGTTGAGTGCCCTCTTTAAATTTGATGTGCTTCAAATTCATTTTCCATCCAAAATTCAATTTCTCTCATTTGGCCTCGTTTTCCAAACATAGATGACTGAGGAAGGAAAAAAGATTGAAGCAAATCTATTTTCCATTATAGACATAGGTCTCCTATCGAACTAATTACCATAGAAAGATATGTAATCTATATAACACCTTTCCGAAGTAGAAGTTTCATCAAATTGTTAACGTTAACACCGAAAATCCCATGAGGTATGTACCTTAGCTACAAATTCGATGATGCCAAGTGCTTCATGCATATCGTAAGACCAACAAAAATTGTTATGGATGTCCTAATTGACCATGTGTATTGGCATGATGTTTAGATTTAGCAAAAGCGAAGCATTGGCGTGGCGTTAATTCCAAGTACCCAATATAAAAAAAAATAATTAAAATGTGAAAACCAAAAGCTACCGTTTTGAAGGCGACCAACTAATGGTAATACTTGCTCGGGTTTTCTTTTGCATGCGAAAAGAGGGTTTGGACGGAGTTAGGACTTACCTCGTCCATTGTTAGAATGTTCTGTTCAGGGAGTTAATGAAGCATCGTCGGGTGACCGAGTGAGCTTGTCTTTATGAAGCCTAGGACCATCAATACATCTACGCCAGAGCCAGTTCCCTGTAGACCAATTAAAATTTTTGGAGACTGATAGTGTTTTGAACAATCGAACTTGTGACTTTCAACATGAAGATTGAGTTTTTGGACCGCTCGATTGGAAACGCCTACTCGGACTCGGTGTATCTAGAATACGGGTAAATCACATTGAGCGAACTTATGAATCTCACGTGAATTTCACATTGAATTACAATGGTTAAGATCCAGACGGGTACTTATGTCCGAGTTACTACCAACTTCCCTTCAACCAATCCCTTCTGTTTTTCCAATGGTTGTGTTGTGGGTGGTGCCTTTAATGACAAGAATGTTGACATCGATGCGAGCCAAAGCAGATCACATGTTCAGAGACACTGATATTCTGCTAGAATTTTCCCTCTCCTTTTCGTGTTCCCTCCCAAACCTTTCACTGTCTCTCGCACAGCTCTTTCAGGGGTTTTGATTTTGATTCTCTCCTCAGCTGTAGATAGGTCGAGAGGTGCAGACAAAAAGTCCTCTCAAATTTGAAAAAGAAAAAAAACTATCGAAATGGTGATAAATTATAAAAAGTCATATTCGAGTTCGCATGTCGATTTTTTATATTTTGTAGAAATTTCAAGAATTTTTAAATTTTTAGAAAAGCAAAATGGTTGAGTTATAAGATTTGGATTTGATTCTAAAAGTAAAAAGCAAAACAGCATTAAAATCACAGTAGCCTTTCTTGTTTTTTCTTTTGTTTTGTTATTTTGATTAAATGTATAGGATTCTTATCTGCCCAATAAGCCAGGGTTTTTGTTGAATTTGCTAGATTTCCTGTCTCCTACTTTTTACAGAATGTCATGTCCAATGTCCCCACGCACCTGTGGAAAGTCAATTGGAGAATTTGGAGGCCAGGCATCTCATCTCAACTTTTGCTTCATGTCTAACTCAAGAGAATGTTATTTACTGTGTACGAAAAGATAATGGATAGTTTCTCTTGAATAATAATCTAGATTTATATCGTAAGATTAGATAATGGTAAGATAGTAATTAATCCTCTTGAATTCTAGATAAAAAAATTGTAAAAATCTATAGAATGGTATACAAAATCTAAAATCACGAAAACACAACTAATGCCCATTGGATGTTGAGTTTCACAAATAAAGGAGGACAACGGTAAAACTAATAAAGAAAGGTTCGTATCTAGAAACCCGAAAAAGAGCTAGCGAAACACTTGAAGTGTAATGCTTGGTGTCTATGTATCCGCTGTGAAGTTGCGGGTCATGGAGGAAGGAGATAGACAAGAGAAAGGAAAAATCAAAACTATTACACGTGCCATCGAAAACAGATGACACGACACTGTTGTCCCGTCTTTAATTTTGACTTGATTACGCAGGCCACCTTGGTAAAAATCATATGACGAGGCGCCGAATCAGTACATTTACACTAATTTTGTCTATGAATTTTATCTTTGAAAAAAATAGGGAAAGAAAAAGGCTCTGTTCATATTTCAATTTTCAATA